AGATTAATTTAAGTATGAAAAATATAATGTAAGAGTGGATCAATGTCAAGTATCATTTGCATGAAATTGCACATAATGCTGCTTAATGTATACTGAATGTGAAATAGCTGAAGTCTTTTTAAACTTATGGAAACAAAAACTTACATTTTATTTATAGTTCCTAACACTACACATAACATTTCACTCTAACTTTTAATGCTTCCGATTAGACGCTCCTGATTTAATTATCGGTGACTGAAATATCCGGCTGCACGAATTCACCGAATTTTCTTCATATACTACGTTTACGTTTATTGCTCATTAAGATTAACAAACCAAAACATACCTGATAGCAGTCTCTTTAATAAAGAAGATTAATTTAAGTATGATAAGTATAATATAAGAGTGGATCAATGTCAAGTATCATCTGCATGAAATTGCACATGATGCTGCTTAATGTATACTGAATGTGAAATAGCTCAAGTCTTTTTAAACTTGTGAAAACAAAAACTTACATTTTATATATAGTTTCTAACACTACACATAACATTTCACTCTAACTTTTAATGCTTCCGATTAGAAAACGATTACCTCAAATTTATAGAGTATTTTATTAAATTGTAAGGATAAATGTAAGTTTAATGTGCAGTTAGAATAAGAAAGGTTAGTTTATGATGCTACAAGAAGAAAGAGACTTTGTCAGATTCTTACAAATCTCGCAGACAGTTTGGTTAAAATTAATACTACACTAAGGCAGAATTTGGGATAACTTAAAGCTGATGTGTTTCAAAATGCCTATTATTTGTTAACAAAATTTAGGAATTAGAGACAATTTGTGAAGGTTAACCTCTGGGGAATGATACAATGCCAATATTTAATATTCAGGTGCTAATTTTACATGAATTTTTTTTAAAGTTGCCTGAGACATTTTTTTTTCTTTTATGGAAAAAAAAAAACGGAAATTATAATATTATAATACAAAAAATTTGGAAAAGTTTCTTTCGTGTGTAAAAGATTGCGAATGTCGTTTAGCTCTGCTTTGGGTTATAAAGGAATCAATGATTAGGTGAAAAGGAGCATAAACGGTATAATAATACTTCGTTATTAAATTTAATTTTTGCGTGTGAATTAAAATGACATATTTAAGAATCAAAGCATTTATAGTTCTTATTTATTTCAGGTTTGTTTTTAATGAAAATCCATTTCGTTTCCTTTGAAAACAAGAAACCATGAAGAACAGAAGCAAGTATTCATCACTTATCTACCATGCAACAAAAAATAACCAACCAGGACTTATGCAAAATATGATTCCCCTCTCATTTTTATAAATATTTTTTTAACTGGTGAATAGTCAAACTAAATTTCCTATAGTTAAACCTTTTTAAGCCAGCAAAGGAAAAGAAAGAGTCCTAGAACCTTTAAAGTTAGACGCATCAGACGATTAAAACAATTAACTCCTTTCCTTTTATACGGTTAACTGGTTTAAATCTGTCATTACTGAAAGGTCATATTCAGTATAAAATGCTGAAAAGAAACACACGTGAAACCCTTTTCAGTGAGATTTCGTAACCGTCATGACGCGACATTATTATGCCGAGAGTAGCTAGCGTAATTAACTTAGCTGTATTCCGGATCAATTCAAGGAAAATTAACATGCAAGTATAAGAAATACATAATATAAAAATACAAAGTTATAAATAGGAAGAAAGGACCAAAAACATAACTGGCTCAAGACGAAAAGTCTTGAAAAGTGAAAAAAGTCTTGCATTAAAGGTGGCGCCATCTGAGGTCTGGTGCAGTTGTTCACAGTCACCCTTCGACAAAAGTAGAAGAGAATTAAATATTCAGTTCTTCAATAAGTCCTAGAAATTGCAGGGCAAGCTGAAGTTTTTCATTCTGTGAGTTCAAATCTTTAATAATCTTGGTAAATTCTAAAACTTTGCCAAATAATCCAGCAAATTTGCTTAATAAATTAGTGACTTACGAATCAGACTTTAAAGTATTGTTCGAAGTCATTAATTTAGCATCTGCAGGTTTTGAAGCAGCAGTAAAGTCAGGAGTCGATTTTCTAGCCTTTTCAGGTTTCTTTTTAAATTCGTTGGGCGACTCGGGAGCAGTCTTATCATCTTTTCTAGTATTACGAAATTTATGAAAACCTCTGTGACCAAAAAGTCACAATGTGCGATTTGTTACACCTGATACAGGTGGGTTTTTCTTCTTTTGTCAGAGCACAAGAGTAGGATAGGTGATCAGAACCACACTTCAAACACCTTTGCGCATTGTTGCAGAAAAGCTGTCGGTGGCCAAATCTCTGACATCGGAAGTATATCATTGTATTTCTATTCGACTTGAATCGTCGAAATTTAATATGGAGACCCAGGGTAGTTTTCTTCTTGTAGATGCTTCTGTCGATATCATTTCTGGTGAGAGATGCAAAAAATACAGGCAGTTTCATTTCTGTTCCATTAGACTTCCGGACAAATTGTGCAATCTTAAGAACCGGGAAACCACCCTTTATCAGTTCCGTGCGGATATCTTCATTACCCGAGTCTTCAGGTATTCCGCGGATAACGATCGTAAGAGCTGAATCTTTTTTCTGGCGAAAAGTGCTAAACTGAAACTCATTCTTGAGAAAAATTTCAAGAGCGAGATCACGACAAGTGATTTCATAACCAATACTGTAACAGCCTTAAATATTGTTGATCAAATCTTGTACAATTGAAATAGATGAAGAATAATGTATATGTTACTGACAATGTATAAAACGAAGACTCGAGAGCTGCTTGCGGTTCCAATGATGTTAGTCCATTTCCGAAATATTCACTAAAATAAATGTTGATGTTGTTGGTCCGCTACCTATTTCAAGAACAGGAAAAAATATATTGTTACAGCTCTACGTATGTCGTCCAAATATCCAGATGCTGTTACTGTGAAGACATTTCTTCGCTATCTGTGACTGATACTTTCTTACAGATTTTCAGTCGTATGGGTTTCCCAAAAGCGATCTAAACAGATTAGCAGACTTCTTTTGCCAGTGCTTTGAAAGTGGAATTCTTGGAGTGTTTCAACATTAAACATGTAAGGAGCTTTGTACATCATCCGCAGAATAATCCCGTTGAACGATTCCATTTCACACCAGCAGAACTAGTTCATGGCGAAAACCTACGAACGCCAGTCACTTTACTTTAAGAACAGTGGCTAGAACCGACAGAAGAAAGAAATAATGTCAGTTACGTTTTCGAACTTAGTAATCGAATGAAGAAATACCAAGAACTTGCCGTGGAAAATATGGCAGAAGCTCAACAATGGAGGAAAACATGGTACGATCGAAATGCAGTGAAAAGAGAATTTGCTAGAGAAGATTTAGTTCTTGTTTCAAGTACAAATCTTCAAAATAAACTAGAGGTACAATGGAAAGGACCTGGGAAAATAGAGCAGAACATTTCAGAAACCAATTATGTTGTAAGTTTCGAGGGACAAAATGAGCCAAATCAAGTATATCACATTAACATGCTTAAACCATATTACAAAAGACCAGAAATGATTAATATGATAACTGAAGTGGAAGGAGACTTAGAAATGGACATTCCTCGTTTACCTTCCAATCCAAGTATATTTAATTTTCTCGGACATCATAGAGGAGAATGAACTCGAGAAAAGGTTGAAACCCGAGCAAATAGAAGATTTACGAAAGATTTTATGGAAATTTCTGGTTGGTTTTCAAATAATCCTGGACTAACAAATTTAGTTAGTTACGATTTTGAGATATTAAATAGTGAACGAATACAAATGAAGCCTACAGACTGTCACTCCGACAGACTGAAATTCTCAAAAAGGAAATTCAGAAGTTTCGAGACAATTTAGTTAGTTACGATATTGAGATATTAAATAGTGAATTAATACAAATGAAGCCTACAGACTGTCACTCCGACAGACTGAAATTCTCAAAAAGGAAATTCAGAAGTTTCGAGGGACAAAATGAGCCAAATCAAGTATATCACATTAACATGCTTAAACCATTTTACAAAAGACTAGAAATTATTAATATGATAAATGAAGTGGAGGAAGACTTAGAGATGGATATTCCTCATTTACCTTCCAATCCAAGTATATTTAATTTTGCGGATATCATAGAGGGGAATGAACTCGAGAAAAGGTTGAAACCCGAGCAAATAGAAGGTTTACGAAAGGTTTTATGGAAACTTTCTGGTTGGTTTTCAAATAATCCTGGACTAACAAATTTAGTTAGTTACGATTTTGAGATATTAAATAGTGAACGAATACAAATGAAGCCTACAGACTGTCACTCCGACAGACTGAAATTCTCAAAAAGGAAATTCAGAAGTTTCGAGGGACAAAATGAGCCAAATCAAGTATATCGCATTAACATGCTTAAACCATTTTACAAAAGACTAGAAATTATTAATATGATAAATGAAGTGGAGGAAGACTTAGAAATGGATATTCCTCATTTACCTTCCAATCCAAATATATTTAATTTTGCGGATATCATACAGGAGAATGAACTCGAGAAAAGGTTGAAACCATGAGCAAAATAGAAGGATATACGAAAGGTTTTATGGAAAACTATTCTGGTTTGTTTTTCAAATAATCCTGGACTAACAAACTTCAGTTAGTCACGATATTGAGACTATTAAATAAGTGAACCAATAAATGCCGAAAACCAGAAAACTTGAACCATACAGACTGTTACCTCCGACAGACTGAAATTCTCAAAAAGGAAATTCAGAAAATGCTCAATCTCAAAATTATAGAGCCGTGGGAATCGGACTATACATCTCCCATGATTTTCATAGAATCTTGATCAAAGGATCTTATATTGATTATCGTAAACTCGATGCTCTTACTAGAACTGAATATTATCCTTTACCTAATACTGAAGAACACATCGGAACTGTAACAAAAGCAAAATATATTACACTGTTAGATTTATCCTATTATTTTAAATGATTCTGCATTATATTCACATTTAAGTAACATTAGATCAATGAAAAGGAAGATGAATTTTTAAAACTTTTATTGTAACAAAATAGACAAACACTACAGAAAAAAATGGCAATTGTTGCAGTTCGTACTGTTTCATAAACAATACATTTGGCGAGTCAGCAACAAAACAAATTTAGTTCATGTGCGAGTTTGGACACTTCTTGTTTATTTTACAAGAACTGGTCTATGACGTGAAGGACACCATTCAAAGCGGTGATGTCTGAATAGGTTACTGGTACAGAATTCACGGTCATGATACCTGAAACAATAGAAGGTAAAATTTGATAAATTACAGAAAATTTTTCAATATATTTTGGATTGCATACATTTAATTAAATGAGAATATTTACAATGCACGCCAGTTCAAATTTAAAATACCCTTAGAAAAAATATTTCTGTATTATTTCAAAGACGTGTCCTTTCAAATAAATAAATCTCAAAAACGAGTTATTTTTGAAACCTTATATCGGTACCGCTATATGAGCTGGTTTTTTTCTAAGGAGACTGCTGTAATAACATAATATGTGATATTAGAGAGCTTTCTGTTCTCTTGGGAACGAGCTACAGAAAGCGCTATGAGCCGGAGAAAGCGATTAAGGAAGATTCTGTAAGGACACCCTCTTGGCGGTGTATCCGCTACCGATCTGGTAAAAGAGAAAGAAAATGTTGTTGTTTGAGAAATGCCGAGAGAGTAAGACGCGTCGTGCGTCGGGAAAGCTGTTGTCTTTTCCCTTCTGTAAAAATGCTGTAATGTTACTTTTAATTAACCAAGAAATATATTAAATTTTTAAATCATTTAAAAAAATTGTTTTTCGATTCCAGAAGCTCGGAACGCTCCCAGCTGCTTTTTACCAAACATTGTTTCACGAGGGTTCTTGACTGCATGTGGGAAGCAAACCAGTTAAATGTCTTTATGCGGTAAATCACGATCGCATTATATAACAAATTTCGATAAGGCAAAATCACTATTTCACGTATAGAAAACATGGCTGTATTCGGTTATTAGGCCTTCTGATGAGCTTTTCTATTCTCAAAATTGCGCAAAACATAGGACAGCTAAGCTACGATGAAGATTTTTTTTTGTAGTTTTTAGTTCTCTTTCACAGCATATTAATAGCAGCATAATCATCGTAAATTTTATAAATCAATTTACTTGCCAAATAATGTAGCATAAATAGCTGCATCTATTTCAGCGTTTGTTTAACACGAGACAGAAGATCTGGAATTAGAAACTAATAATACAGTACTGAATAATACAGTACTGAAATGTCTAAGAGATTATAAAATCTAAAATTTGATTAACGAACTTATTATTTATTTAAGTGCAGAACATAAAATCGTTTCTTACTTCCTATATTTATACCAATTAATATTACTAGCGATGAATACAGTTGTGGAGGGTATTCTTGCAATAAAATGTTCAGGACAAGACAAGAAGCACCCGAGGCACCAGTACTTTACCATGCGGTGAAACAAGTAATTGTTTCGCGATGCTACTATACTAGCAAAAATATTAATAATACACAATGCCCATATACGCCATTCAAGTATAGTTATAATAATAAAATAGTTTTAATTAAAACAAAATTGGACATATACCGCAGAATTCGTAATACAGTATTTTGCAATAGACATGAAGCAGAATAAGCATTCTAAACACTGTCTCAACAGCAATCTTTACCTGGTGTTTTTTCGGAACGGTTGGTCGTAGATAGGTACTTCCGATTCCAAAAGTGTTCCCTCTGAGCGTTATGGCCGGCTTTATCCGGTCATCAGAAGTTTTGCTATTTGGCATATATTAGCTTATAGTTTAAGCTATTTTGCTTTCTTACTTTCTTTAATGATGTAAATATTATCTTAATGAATGTAAGTTTATGAAAGTACAGACTAAAATTAGTAATTATACATACTCAATTAATAAATGCTGTTTAAATATCGGTCTTCATTACGGATCTAAAATCGTGCGTTTTCAAATAATAATAAAAACTCGTAAAAATTACTAAATTTAACTTGTTATATCATCTACGGCTCTATATTTACGTTTAGAAAACAATTTCTAGTAACTATGAAAAATTTAAAAAAAAAAAAAAAGTTTGACACCCGAGTGACAAAACTTGAGCGAGATATTTAATTAAAAAAATTTTGGACATTTGACATAATTTTCAACTTGTCTTTCTATATTTCTCCCTCAAATATAATTGATGATATTCTTTTATGATTTATTAGTTAGTAATATTCTTTAATTTATAATTTTTATACGACGGATAATGCCGAAAGAATTTTCACACAAGCAATTTTTAATCGTTAAAAATACGCTATTAATATTCTCGTGAAGTTTTATTATTTTTTAATCATAATCTTATAATAGTACGAAAAATTCATTGAATTAAAAATAGTTTTTCATTTTTAATTTATACAAATAATGTTACGAGCTGGTTATGTGCCAGTATGAAACCTACTAGTATTTTTTAGTGATGGGCAACTTCGGTACTTTCTTGTACCCGGTACGAGAGTAACGGGTACAGACAAGTACCCGTTACTCAAGTAACCGTTACTTTGAAAAGTACCGAAAAACCGATTTCAAGTACCGAGTACCCAACGATTTGGAGTACCGAAGTACGAAATACCGAGTAACGGTTTGCAGTACCGGAGTACCCTAGTAATGATTTGGAGTACCAAAGTACCCTAGTAACGATTTGGAGTACCGAAGGCCCTAGTACGATTTGGAGTACCGAAATACGCAGCTAGACGATTTTGATCACTGAAGGAATTCTGCCACGTCACCACGTGTTTGATTTTATCTGTACGGAGTTGAGATTTTGAATATCAGAAAACATGTCAACTACGGAAGTGTCTGAGGAGCAGGCCATTCATGGACACAAGAAGCACATATCACCATTTCGCAAATACAACCAGATACTACTGTCCTCGTACCAAAACCGAAGTGAGCTGAACCCTCATCGATCCTCCAGTAACGAATACCGAAATAACCGAGAAGAGACGCATATTTTCGTTACAAAGTACGAATACCGAAAAAACCCGTTTCGGTACAGAAAGTACGAATACCGAAAAGTACCCGTTTCGGTACAGAAGTAACAAATACCGAAAAGTGCCCGTTTCGGTACAGAATTAACGAATACCGAAAAGTACCCGTTTCTGATACAGAAGTAACGAATACCGAAAAGTACCGATTTCGGTACTGAAGTAATGGGTACTTGGATGTACCGATTTTCAGTACCCGTTACAACTAAGTACCCGTTACAAAATACCCGGTTCAGTAGTACCGACTCATCACTAGTATTTTCTAAAGCACGTATTCTATAACATTTTGGAATTAAGATATCCTTTTTTGAAAAAATAAATAAATAAAATAAATATTCATAAATATTTTTCGCAACAATCTGCACTTTTCTCTAAAGCGATAAGCATTATAAAAATTTTTTCTCATCTGATATTTTATTTTTAATTACGTACAAAAGTAAGCTTTTCACTCTTTAGACCATGTACACTCTCTGGATAAGGTTTCCCCCTCTCTAAAATGAAATATTCTCGGGCAGCTTTTGTCGCCCGAGAGTCATACTTTCAGTATTTAATGTTTTATAATGAGTGTAAAATTTTCTTAAACATATGTATAGTGAGCGGAGGAGTGTATAAAAAGTTACATTTCGAATGTTTACAAAATTAATTTTTTTTATTATGTAGAAATGCCAAAATAAGAATATTTGCGCCATTGAAAACAGTTTGGCAATTGCAAGGCCGGGTAAGAACTTTTGAGGATACGATGTATTTAGGGATGGATTTTGAGCACTTTTTGATCACATCTCTAAAATACATCCGCATATTGAAGGGTCCAGAGTTCGAGCCCCAGTTCAGTGTCTTCAATAGCTTAAGCTTGAAGACGCTTCTTCCATCCACTGCAGCGCTTCAATCACGTTTCAAGTTTTCAGCTCAGAAAGATGGCGCCAACACCATAAACAGCAATATGCGACATACGTTAAAATCAGTGTGCATATCTCTACATACCTAGCTAGGCACCTGGAAAATTTGAAATAGTAATCTAAATTTTCATAATGACAGAAGTTACTGTAATTATATCCCTTTTCTCAGCTTCTTCACAATAACAAAACTGACGAATACAAACTATAAAGTTGATTTAAATCAAAAGGAAGCAACAAGATGGAGCGCTGAGTGCTACATTTGAATATAACTGTAACATATTATGAATTACGGTGCAAATATTGAAGTGGTTGCAAATTCTCTCAGAAGAAGAATAATTAATGTACGTAATGTATAAAAGTGTTTTAGAACAAAAGAAAAAGCAATAAGTGTTGTGGATATTTTAGAGATTAAAATGAGTTTGAATTACTAATATGAGAACTTTTCAATGGGTTTTAATTAGCCATTATTACTATTATTACACACTAATTACCATTATTCATAAAGTGTGTTAAAGTAAAGATTAGTTATGGATAAAGAATAACATTTTGAATGTAATTTTATTAAATTTTGCCATTTTCGAAAACTTTGAAAAGTGATTTAAAAATTTAGTATGACAGAAAGCTAGTATGAAAAGCAAAGAATTAACGAAGGATATTCAAATAAAGATCGTACAGAACAAATAAGTTTACTGACCTTCTTGTAGAGAGAGGATAAGCGGTTGGCCGCTTTCACTTTTTTTCTCTTGATCTTCCTGGATTCCACTCGAAAAATACGTTCCTCGTACTATGTGCCTTTTCAATAAATCTGTAAATTAAGATGGAAGGCTTAGAATCGTCAAGTCATAGTCACATTTTAGGAAATGTTTCCAATAAATTGATAATACGAGGAAAGTTGAGCTGAAATAAAATTACTAATTTTCTTAAAAATAGCTAGATGAAAAGTTATGAAAGATTGGATATCTTCCTTTAATGTCTTTACTTCGAGCTATGAAAGTATACAAACAGAGACTTCAGTGAATTTATATACTAAGTTCACTGAATATGCTTTATTATTAAATTGTAGAGACATTAGGTAATTATTTTGGAGGCAAGAAAGATGACAAATATTTAACGCCTTCGCCGGGAATCGAACCACGGACCTCTCAGTTAAGCGCTGAGCGTGAAGACCCCATTCGTTACACCACGAAGGCTGGCTAAGAAGGCGGGAGAAATGCCTTATAAAATATTAACATTTAATTATAGATATAAATTTAACGAGAGTTACGTAAGTTTTACAGAGATGTTCAACGTTATGTATTAATGCGCACTAATATATGCTAGACTATATTTATTGCTGATGTTTCAGTGATCTACTATTATTTGCTTAACGTTTTCTTTAGACTTAATACCCATGCATTAAATGCACACTTAAAAAAAACTTAAATGTAAGCAACAGTGTTCTAAACTAGACGGAAGGTAGGAAAAAGGAATGAGAACAGGATATTTGTTTAATAATTTTTGCGAAGTGACTGGATTTTTGAAGAAGGAAAACTCGAAATGTCACTTGTGCTCAAGAATCGATTCTGAATCTTCAAACTGCATGTGCTGACTATTATACTAGTACAGTACATCGGAGAAATGTTCTGAATGCATTACACTTTTATCTGCATTAGGTAACTGGGTTGTAAGGTTTATTATGCTATATGGGTAAGGATTATTGTGTATTTTAAGTTATAATTTGAAAAGTAAAAAAAAAAAAAAAAACTATCAGACTTCACGACGACAATCGTCTGAAACTTTCAAGGGTGATCAAGTATTTGACCAAAACGACAACTGAAAAGTGGACATTTCGCAAGTGTTCGCAAACTTGGAACAGGAAGTATAAAGTGAGCATGTCTACAATATTTGCAGCTACAGATTGTCAAATGGTAATGTAGCTATGCGGTTTAAGCATTCTATCATCCATAGACGTTACGTACCTCATTATAACATTGCACGTACTTCAGTCTACAGCATGGTAATGTGATGGTAGAAGACAAGATTGCTGTGAGGTTATAATGACACTATATTCACAGGTAGTAGCAGTGTTTATGTCACTGACACGAAATATGTCCGGAAGCGGCCTTTGAGGTGACCAAGGAAACCGTGCTAGACTTAAAAGAGGGATAGCTGCTTTATTGGCTCACTTCTTTAAATTCCAGAACTGAATTTCAGATTCCATATTATGCTCCTTTTGGAATTTGTTATATATATGTTAGTGAATTCTTGACAATTTGTGTTCCATCTTGCCAGCTGTCTCAAGAACTGTGACAATTTATTGAATTTTATTTGGTGTTCTCTTACATTTTCGAACAGTTGCTGGTAAGGGTTTTTGTTGCTTCAATGCACAGAGCAGCGTTGTCTGTAGGATACTTCTGCGAAACCTTTGCCTCTAATGTTTGTACCATAGCATTAGGATTCCGAGCCATTTGACTAACCTACTACATCTTATTACATTTAGCGGTCAACTATGCCCGTATACCACAGTTCGTAAGCAGTATTCTCTGCCATTATGTATGTTACCTGCTAAGAATATGCCTTATTACACAACAAGCTTACAACGCAAAAGTACATTAAGTATGCCAGTCCGTGGTGAAAATATTGCGTCGCACGTGCCACTTTATATGAGCTCTAGGGGTGGCACGGGATTGTGAAATACCACAATTGCACTTGTTGTTTTATCCTCATATTTGATCATCTCTGAAATTTCCATAGCGATTGTCGTCGGGAAGCCTAATAGCTTTCCTTGTTAGTTTTCTTTCAGCAATCTGCGTGTAATTTCTACTTTGTACCATGCATTATATCATATTTTCTCTCTGCTTCTCGTTAGGAACAAAAAATAGTTTCCCACATCAACAGAAATCGTAACATCTTTTGAGTGAATTGATTGTACATGGTTTGAAACTGAATATTTTTCTCTTTCACTTTTTCAACTAATTTCAGTCTTTTTGTTTCTTTCCTTATTAAGTTATGACTGTGTTCCGGTAAGATAAGTCACTCAGCTTCTTTACATTTTTGGCACCGATGAGGAATATGTGGTATGGTACATTAGGAAAATATACTTTGTATTAACTTACTGGCTTCATATTTTTAAAACTTCAAATTATTTCTTTGCAGAAAGTTCTAATTCGTTTTCACGACTACTTAAAGCATTTCCAATAAAACCTATAAAACTATCCAAATCAGGGAAAATATCTAATGTTTCAGTATCCAGTACTTTTTAAACCATTCAATACATTAGCTGAATGCGTAGGTTTATAAAAAGCTATCGTTACTAGATAAATGAATTCTTATAGCGTAATACATTAAACATTATTACATGACGTGCATTGCTGTGGTGTACTTCTTTCTAATACAAGCCGAAATCAGCCATATGAAGAGATGGCAATTTTGTGTATGCTGTTGTTATAATTAAAAATATATATCATTTGTGATGTGTATTCGTTTCCAGATTACTTGTAGTTATGGCGTAGCTAGATTCATGCTATTAAGCATGAATTTTTAAATCAAAGTCAATGCGATTTAACTGAATTTTCTATAACATACACTGTAGTGAAAAGAGGGAAAAATGAGGTAAATTTTAAATGCATAAAAAACTGTGTTTTCGAACTGGCAATTCGTAGTACAAGCTAAAAAATTACATTTTGAAAAAGCGAGCATGAGAGTTCTGGGCACAAATAAATTCTAACATAAACATCACTGAATATTTAATTTCTGTTAATTAGAGGTATAACATAACATAATGTTTCAAATGCAGTAAGAAAGTGGGTTAATTACCTGCGAAAGCCTTCTTGTCATCGATCAAAGTCTTCCTTTCTTCCTGGGTTAAAGACTGGAATGCAGTATCGCTAGGTGCAAATATGGTCATAGGACCGGTTCCTGAAATTGGGCACTCATAAATTTGCAAATTTGAATTTCATTATAAGTATTAAAATTTACAAATATTATCAGTTAAAGGAGATTCATTGAACTGCTTTGCTTACTTTAGCCTGGAAAAATGTCATTGATTACTTCTGTAGTCAGTGTAAATCAAATATAACGCACACTTATTTTAAAACTCAACCAATTGTTTTAGACTTCTAAAAACAAGCTACATTGGCTTGTTATGAATAAAAAAGCTATACTGAATTTACATAATCATCTTTACTTCGGTCTCTTTCTTTCTTTTTTTCTTTCTTTCTTTTTTTTTTTTTTTTTTTTTTTTTTTTAGGGAGGGGCTCCTAAATTTGAACTACGCTTCTTGTTTATATAGTGAGAATTAGATTATTAAAAGTAACTTTAATTTAATAATAAATGAGTAATAAAACCTAGCTATTTATCGGAAGCGTATGGTAAATTGCTCTGTAATTTATTTATGTAGTAAATTCAATTCATGAATTTTGCTGTAACTTGTAATATTTGCCTATTATGCCATAAATTCAGCTTGTGAATCACAGACTTCAGATTATTCAAAGACATGTAAAAAAATAACGCGTTTATATATGTCACAAATATAGTGTAAAAGTTAAATCACAATTATGGTAATTTATAGTTTATGGAAATACTATATTTTTACAACTGTAAGCCAGTGGGGAAAACGTAGTTATTCGAATATCATTGTCTGTTGCAAGACAATGAATAACAACCAGTCATGACTAGGTACTTTGATTCATTTTCTTTAAAATTCTAATACTGGCTGATTTGGATCATATGCATATATTCAACAATATTTGACTTAGATTATATAAATAAGTACATACAAGTTCATCTTGAAATGCGTTCAAAATAATAAAGAAATAATAACGCGGAAGAAAAAGACTGCAGGAAAAACTCATTTTGCATAAGCGAATCATATTTTTTTAACACCTCGAAAAAGTGGACAATATAGTAATCACGAATTCATTATTTTGTCACGTTCTTTGCCCAACTAAAAAACCATAATGTAGCGACTGAGAATTTCTATAGAGACATCAAAGCAGAAATGTTAGATTAGCTAAAACATTTGCACATGCACATTTATATACCATATGAAATGTTGTTAAGTAAATAGAAAACTGAACTGATATGCATGTTTTAACCGCGTAAAGAGATTCAGCATGCTCCGTGTTACATATATTTATGATTTAAATTCATATCATGTAACAACCTATAATTTAAAAATCGCTGGAATATTAATGCTTATTACCTGAAAGTACCCAAGTGAGTCGAGCTGTTCGAACAGCTTCGGAGAGATTTCTGAGAATAGGTGAAGATTCGATGATGTTCAATAAATTTCCAGTAGGTTGGTAAAGTACTTGAGTTACTGGAATCACCTGTACGGAGCCCATAGTAGCAAGAGAATCACCTATGGGTGTGCCAGAAGCTGTCACCGTCTACAAAAGGTAAATGCATCAAATTAAACAGATGTTATATATTCTTACAAGGACGGTCAAAGGATTCTGAAGCAATCCTCTTAGCACAGTCAAAATATCTCAAATTAAAAAAATTCAAATACAAATGGGACTATTGAAAATTTAATAATTTCATTTTGTATTCGATTCGACGCTTGATGAACAAAATTAACCAGATATAAGTGATTTATATGTATCGTAAATATGGGGCAGTGTATTTTGAAAAACATCCACTAAAAGAATTTTTTTTTAAAATAAAAGCTACGTAACGTGTTTTATTACAATTAACGACAAGAAAATTGCTATTTATTAAAATCGAGCTCTGAAACGGCATTGCTCATTCAAATGATAGAAAAAGAATATTTAAACAACGCATAAACACGAGTGAACGTGAATATATGAGTAAAACAATGGAATGAAATTAAAATATTCGAATATATCTTTAAACTGACAAAAATATTTGAGTTTAATTGATATTTAGTACAATGACTGAGTAAAAAGAACAAATTTTTTATTGCCTTAATGTTCAGATTACCTAAATATTATACTTTGTAGAGTCATTAGAATTATTTTAAAGCAAGAGTCATGAAAAATGAACAATGCCCTTGCAGGGCATTTTACTTTTACTACTTTTTTACTTTTATTTGTTTATAATTATTAGTTGAATTACCTGCTTGCAATTACAGTGCTTGTTTTCATACACATTGAATCGGATAGTTTTGCCCTGCAGTAGAGTCGAAGTAGTCTCTTCGTTGGTCAAAGAATTTACGTTGATTCTTTGGGGTATTATGTGGTATTGCAACAGTGATTTAACTTGCTGAGGATCGGAATCTATGGAATATGTCATCTCTTGCGGCAAGGAGCTGATGGCATCATCAGTTGGAGCAAAGACTGTGTACACTCCTGAAAACAGGAACAGACTGAGATTTTGGCATATTTATAATTTATTCATTAAAACTACAAAAAAAGCAAAAATATAGCAAAAACAGATTAACACTTATGATCGCATTTACTGCAGGTTGAAGCTGTAATATATAAACGCTTACCAAGAGTCAACTATTTTCACTATTAAATTATCCCTAAAAATCTGCTTTTAAGCTTCGTTTAGAGAGTTACTACTTCATTTTTCAATTAATTTTCATCCAGCATTTATCGCTTTATCGGACTTAAATGAACACACACATTTGTCTCGAGTTTATAAACTGAGCTTGTAAAAAATAGCTCCAACTAGGCAATATAATCTAAGCATGCATCACGAAAATAACTCTATTTCGCGATATTTGCCAGTAAACTAAAATAATTCAGGAATGGAATCCCTTTATTAGTTATTTCCTTGCTTCTAAATAAAATAATCAAAATTCTTATTAATTTACCACGAGGTAATCTCATTCTCTTTCGAGTTATTTACCAATGACTTTTAGTAACTGAGATAAAAATCTCTCAATAGATCATATGCTTGCAAGTCACAACAAAGGAAATAGGCAAAACTATGACACGCGAACTCATATTAGGTGTTCCGCACCACACATTTTCAGAGCCGTCAACGAAGGCAAAAAATTAAATAATACAAAAATATTTGTCTCTTGCATCTCTTGCAATATATCTATGCGCCAACAAATATTATGAACAAAAACTAAACAGCAGAAGAAATAAATATATTAGTTTCTGAGATTAATAAAGGAAGTAAATATGACAAATGAATACGAGAGTAACAAAGGGCCCAGAAAATATAAATGTCTAGAAATAAGTCAATAAACAAAATTAGTCAATTTCAGCAAAACAAACAAGTAAAAAATAGATCGTCGAAATATAAATATATATTGCTTAAACTGATTATAAATATGAATCATATAATGTTTATTATAATGGTTTTTATATATTTATATATTTATATATGAAGGGAAAATATATAAAAGCATATTGGAATAAGCTTTTAGTTACTATAAAAATCTTAACAACAGTATATGATAATTGTCTCGTAAGATAAAAATCAAAATAATGCTTCTAACCTAGCCCTAGGAAATGGAAAATAAAAATGATAAAAACGTTCAAGATGTGTATATATGTTCACAGAGATTTCATGAAAAATTTAAATGTTACTTATTTAAATGATAACAAAATTGTTTTTAAAAATGTTATTTAAAAAAAGCCGTACCTTGCAATGCATTTACCTGCCTTCGCCAAATCCATTGCTAAATGACGCATTATATTTATTTTTGCTTGGGAATTACATATATTTAGTATCATTACATCTATGCTGCTCACAATATCTGATTTAATTAGTTACATTTATTCATCTTTACAATCTGGTAATTGTTTTTTATTACTTCTTCATACGAAGCGAAAGAAGTATTGTAATTGCGAAAAATTCGGGTACCATATTTCAACGAAAATAGCCATTTTGATCGCTCTCGAATTCATTGGAACGATGTTCTTGCGTGATCTGTACGTGCAGATAGAATAAAGGGCTCTTTTTTCCCAAAATGGTTTGTAAAATAGATTTAAAATGGATTCAGAAGAGATTTTTTTTCGTGACGTCTGTACGTATATATCTCGCATAACTAAAAAATGAGTAGCCTTAGAATGTTGAAATTTTGTACATGGGACTGCTCTAGCATGTAGTTGTGCACCTTTCTTTTTGGCTGCAATGAGCAGCCCCAGACATATATAGTACATTATATACTCATAAATAAGTGTAGTTTCTTTAATATATGAATTGATTGAACTTTACATTGTAAAAGTTTCCTTTGTTAAATTTGTATTAATGTAAGTGTTTGAATGAACCCCTGGTCATTCAGGGGGCAGTCTGTAGAAACTGTATTGCACCAGATGGCGCTGTGTGCGCTTGAATTCTTCGGACTACTGCAGAACCTTGATGATTGCGAAAGATGTAACACCAACGCGAAACATTAACCAAAGTTTATATGTGTCTCTCTTTGTTGTAAATGTATTTAATTGTGTCGTCAATAAAATATGGAGAAAATGATAAAAGGCGAGAATGCGTCTGACAGCTAAGTGAGATTTCTTTATATTTTGATTTGAATTGAGTTTTAGTGACAAAGAATGTATATGCGTATTTACAAATCTTTTTGCTCTCTTACCCGGTTCGGTGAGCTCATATTTTTTATTCTTATATGTTGGTAAACTGTACATTTTTCGCTTTAAACGTGACAGAATTATGTTGTTCTTATGTTCCGGTTAAGATTTTATGCCTTTAGTTAATCTGCCTGCAATAATTGTAGATTTATCATCCCTTTAAAAGTGGTGCTAACCCTAACAAGGCACCGAAAAATACGACTTCTTGCCCGCTAGCCAAATTGCTTGTTTTTGCGTAGAAACTCTGATTTTAATTGTAAAAGTTGTTTTTTAACTGTCTTTATTTGGTGTTTTATGTTTTCCTATAGTTTTCCTTTTTTAATGAAGATTTTTTGCCTTGCCTCGAAGTGAGAACTGAATTAATTGAATGAGAAATATTAGATCTCTAATGAAATTCGAGGAAAAAGGTTTAAATGAAATGCAGCAAAAAAATGTATATAATTTTAAAAAAATGTATATAATTAATAGTACAAGGAAGTCATGTCGTACCCATTTCAGATATTGTTTTTATTCATTGAAATTATTTGGTTTTATCTGCTTAAAAAAATATTTATTACATGATAAAAATTTTGAAATATATACATCAAAACTTAACAGCTTGCAAAAAGTTATATTTATAAACTCATCATTTGACAGTTTTAAATTCTATTGATTGGGTTTATTTCTTTAATATTGTGTCTATTCTATTTTTATTCATATGGTGCATCGATCTTTAATAGTTGCAAGGAAAGGAGGCTAAAAACTCTATGATTAATAAAAAGTCCCTTGAAATAAAAAAAATAAAAATAACAGTTATACCCGATTCTGATTTATATGTATGCTGGATTATTTTAATTGCTAAAAAAAATTGGATTTTTATTTTTACCTAAGAGTTTCATTTTACATGCAGTCTTCAGTCAGGCACATTTTAAAAATCAATAATTGAAGACATTTTGAATTATTAATTCCATTCTCCTTAATTAAATTCAATACCTTTCTTTTTACATTACTCTTAATCCTTCTTATTATATTTATGAAGAAAATTAAAGTTTATTCCTCATGTAATTAAAACCTTCATTTATCTTAGCAGTGAAATTTCATTACCTCCATTAAAAGGATTTAAAGAACGTGTCTTATAGCTCTGAATTGAGATTTAAAAAGGGATTGGTAACGATTTATAATGTAAGTACTCATATTAGTAAGAAAATTTTATTGATTAACTAAACGATAGTTAAGATTTGATATTAACTGTAATACGTAATATAATTAGTTCTAGTATGTAAACTTAATGTAGTACCCATCTTATTAAGAGAACCCAAAAAACTGGTTTCATAAGTCAAACTGAAAATGAAAAAGAAGATTGTTAAATGAAAATTTGAAAGAAACTGTAACGCATATAAATTTGATTAAGATCCAGGGATGAAATGAGCAACTGATATTTATTTCCTTAATAGTACAGAACAACAACATGGCTGTCTAATTTTCTATTCATGAGTTTTCCTATTTAATTAATTATTTAATTAAGGCAATAACGTTCACTGCGTCTACAAAAGCTGCATGCTTAAGTTCTCTTCCAGTTTTATTCAAGACAGCATTCCATGCGCACATATCTTTGACAAAACTTAGGAAATATATACTTTATACTTATGAAGCACATCCATTTGCTATAATCTTAAAATATGCAAAACTTTATTTAATGAGAAAATGAAAGTATGGAACCTAGGAGATAGCTCTTGCTATCGCGAACTTACCACCATCATGAATCTTCTCCAACAGTCCTGTATTCGTTATCCAGTTTGCGAATTTATTTAATCCCATTGATCTAGCTAAATCTGCTACGTTGGTACTTGAGCCGCCGCTATGGCCTTGAACTCCTCCAGGCAAGGGCTGCGGCTGGAACCCACTTTGTCCAGAGAAAGACGATTGGCCTGAAGAAGGATATTGCCCTCTTGGCGATGTCTGACCAGAAGGTCTAGATTGATGTATGGTTGTAATTTGTCCTCCAAAAGATGTATGTCCTGAGCCAGCAATTTGGCCGGTGGCCGGTCTTTGGCCTGTCGGTGAACGATAGCCAGAGTCCTGTCTTTGGCCAACTGATGGTTGCAACCCAGTTACTTGTGGTTGTCCTGGACTTAAGCCTTGGCGTACAATGTGTTGCCCAGTCGCGATTCTTTGATCAGTTGGTGAAGGCTGCCCGCTCGCTGGTCTTTGACCAGTAGGCGAATGTTGCCCAGTGGCAGGTCTTTGCACAGATGAATGTTGCCCAGTGCCAGGTATTTGTCCAGATGGACCTTGTCCAGGTCTTTGTCCAGGCGCTGATTGTCCTTGAGCTGGTGTTCGACCAACAGCTGGGATTTGTCCATAAGAGGGTTGTCGTCCTCCTATTGGAGGTTGTTGTGCATTGTTTTCAGGAGAGATATCAAGGCCTAAAGTAAGAGGAAATATTTTAATAGTTTGTAACAAATATAGATATATTTTTATTGCTTTAATATTTTCATCACAGACAATGCACATTAAAAATATCTTACTGCATTTCATTTATTTCTAAACTTACATACTTTAGTAACCTATCAAGTCTGTTGAATAAATATTTATGATTCAGTAACAGTTAATATTAATTTTCTTAAAATTTCAGTTACTGTAAAAGTATCATCTTAGTTTCAGCACTGCACACGAGAAAGGAGAATTACTGCTCCAAAATCAACAAATTACTTAGAAGTCTTTCAAGAAAACTGTTCCTTTAGTTCACCTGAAACAGAGTTTTCCACTCTTGTAATGAACTCTAAGTCTGGTTCGTCTAACAAGACCTGGTCAATTAAATGAATAATTCCTGTTCCCGTTACGATTTCCGGCGTTTTGATGTTCACATCGTTAACTTGGTAACCATCTAAAAAAGGAAAAGAAATCCAATTAATTAGTACCAAAAGTGTTATTATTTCTATTAGAACTCAAAAATATTTCACTAAAAGTTTTCTCTATCACTGAAACTGTTTAAATTCGAATCGCAGAAATTGATAGACCTTTATTTGAGGCCATTAACTACAAATATTATTCACTTACAACTGACTACTTGGAATTTAAGCTTTCCTCCACGGAGACTAGGGAATGTCCCTCCAGTTAAAAATTCTCTTCCATAGTGAGCTCCCTCTGTTATATGGTTGAGGAGTAATTCTGCAAAGAAAGTAAAAGAAAATGAATTTTAAAATGTAGCTTTTTATAAAGCTATGTTAACTAATAATAATTTTTTTTATCTTACTCTTGTAGAACTGGCTATAAGAAAACACCAATCTCTTCCATTCTTTTCCCTCTTATTACCTTATTTTAAGTAATCTTCCCACACCGTACAAACTTATTTTATATGTGCTTTAGGAAAAATATATATCATATAGCGTGTACATATACATTAATATATATTAATATGAACATTTGCAATCAAAATTAAAAATAAAATGCTAATAAATCATATAATTAAAATTATCTAAGATTTTTAAAATTAAGAAGAAAAAAAAAAAATACAGCCTTAGTTCGGAGCAGACTTTAAATGGAACTCTATTGATTTCGAGGGCGTGTTCGTCAGAAGTACAAAATTTTACAAATGTGGAAGAAGCGACAATCATTTTATATGGAAATCGATGGATGGAGGAAAGCGAAAAAGATTTTAGCGGCGTTTGTCAAAGAAAACGGTAGTAATCTAATGTAGAGTTTGAATGAAACTCTCCATTTCAAAAGCAATAATAATTATTTAGTATTAGTCTGTTAGTCAATTAAAGATTAAAAAACAGCTTCCTCTCGTTAAAAATCACAGCATGAAAATTTCAGTTGTGAAATAAATATAGTACCCTCAATTGCAATATATATATGTATATATATATATATGCATCCAGAAAGGTTTAGCCACAATTACGAAACGCGGCATGCAAATTTGGTTTGGCGTGTTGTGTAAATGATTAAATTTGCAGCACATAAATCAGCACTGCGGAACGACAAAAAACAACGCGCGTCTGAAGTGCGTAGCTGGTAGAATGTGAAAGGGTAGGTGCGGCGAGTGACGAGAATTTACAACCGCTCTGAAGGCTTAGATGTACTACACTGTAATGAAAAGAGAAAAAAAAAGCAGTCAACGAGGTAAAAAGAAAGTACGTTTTTACTAAAAGTAGTACATTAGCGCAAAGTGCTGCTAAATTTAATGAAGTTTAAAAGTAGTGTTAGATCCAACTCACCAGCAAGAAGACATGAATTTTACCCAGGAAATTAATACATGAACTACATAAAAGTAAAAATCTAAGATACTAGTTCTTAAATACACTGTAATGAAAGATGCCTTTAAGATGTCTCGATGGCGTTACGAAAGTTGTCAAACTTCGAAAGGGGTCGCATCATAGGGCTAAAAGAGGCCAGTTGTTGAAACAGGCGGATCGGTCGGCATCTTGGTCGAAGCATTATGGTCATTGTCCATTGTTGGAACCAATGGCTCAGCTTAGTTACGACGGCTTGCACAGTCAGCCGCCGCAGTGGCCACTAGTGCCGGAGATGATTGCGGCGCAATTAGAAGAGCTACCACATACGCTATCCTCGATTCAACGCCATTTATCAACTCGCAGGGATCTCGGGATATCCAGGGATACGATTCGCAGAAGACTAGATGACACTGGGCTAAGATCAGTCCATTAAGACGCTTGCCATTTACACTCCACAACAAGCAGTGTGTCTTGCAGGATGCCCCTCTCGCTCAAGCTGGATAGCGTCTGATTTTCGAAATGTGATCTTCAGCGACGAATCACGCTTTTATCTCAATGCTGTTGACCGCCGCATACGTGTCTGGAGACGCAGAATTGATGTACCGTTAGTTGCCCAACTGCACACAGCCAGCTGCACGCAGGGTATGACAGGCTGCGGAGCGATTAGATGGGATAGCCGTTCACCTTTAGTCGTGCTATGAGGTACTCTGACTGCTTGCATATACGTTGACGACATTTTTCAGTCGATCATACTGCCTATACTACCAGGTCGTCGGATTCTGCTTTCCAACAGGACAACGTTCGGCCACAAAGAGCACGACTTTTCCGACAATGTCTTCAACGTGTTAATGTACTCGATTGGTTTGCCAGGTCTCTAGAACTATCGCCTATTGAATATGTTTGAGCTGATAGAATAAGAGTGGAAAGGCTGTTTGCAAAATCACAACAGCATCTTCAAAGCGGAGGTCCTGGCCATCACGGCAGCAATGCAATACATTGTCCATAATGATCTAACTCCTGCCACACTTCATACAGACAGCTACTCAACACTTCAAGCCTTCTAGAACCATCAGCACACTTCTCCACTAGCCATCGCCCTTAAGCACCTCTTGCAGCAACATTCACATATGCACACGACGCTGATGTGGATAAAAGCCCATGCCAACAACGAAGGTAATGAGTCAGCAGACCGTTTAGCCAACCAGGCAGTAACCGACTCAAATGCACAGATGATCCACCTTCAAGCCCCACCCTTTTACCTAAAAGGACAGCTCCGAAGTAAAGGGCTCTAACAATGGCAGGAGGAATGGAACCATAGCGCAACTAGCCGCCGCACCTACAATTTCATCCCCAAAGTCAGCACGGATTGGCAAACTGCAATCGCTCCACTGACTCGATATATCACGGGACACTGCCCTTCGATACACCGTGACTGAACTAACTCTCTTAAACTGTGCAACCATTGTGTACTCAAATTACTGTGCCTAACATAGTGACTGCGCTATAACGACTGTACCATATAGCAATTGTGTTATAACATAGTGACTGTGCCAAACTCCAAATTTAGTGCTGTTAGTACTACAGTGAACACTAAACTTTAGTGTAGCCTGAAGTCTCGCAAACTTTGAACTTTAAGTGTAGACTGAACTTTTAGCGAACTCAACACTAATTCTTGGCATCATAACTCTACATCCGGTACTCATTACTTCATCTTTGTGTTTAAGTACTCACAGCACACTTACAACTACAAGGATACCAGCAATACACTAGCATATGACTCCCTTTACCCCATTCTGTATATTTTAGCATTTTACTTTTGTATTTTTCTTACATATATGCATCTTTTCCTATTTTTCTTAATATCAGTGCATCTTTATGTTCGTATCTGTTCGTATTTTTTTGTTTTATTCTGTACATGTATCTATTTTTGTCTTTCTTTTTTAATGTATCTGTGTTATTCCAACGGCCATGCACACCCACACAGCCGTGCACAAATACGTCGCAACTCGCTGATCAGATGCTCCATTTGTGGCACAATCTGCCGCAGAGGGACACTGGTAATTTAATAGATTCCCTCCCTGAGTATCAGCTTGTATAGCTGCCAGAGGTAACTTTACCACCTACTGATTTTCACATTCCTTATATTGCTACTCGTAAATAAAATACTTTTTCCTCCAGTTTTTGATCATTTGTTTATCTACTCGAACATTATACTACTGATAAAGTTTTGTAGTTGTGGCTCAATTCTTTTAGGGTGCATATGTTTTTTTTTTGTAACAGAGTGTATAAACTAGTGAGAAAAATTAAAAGATATCTTGTAAAAGGATATATAACTCTCAACTACTGATTAAACGTTCATGAAAATAAATATATATATTAATTTGAAACTATCGAGTTGAAAACATATTAGGTTATATGTTTATAATGTTAACATAATAATATGTTAAACATATTAGGGCCTCGGTTAGCGCATAAAATATGAAAATAAGGAGAAAGTTAAGGAACGAGGTAAGAGCCATAAATTAGTATTCGCATAGCTTCACGTACGGTAATGAATTAGTAAACCTTTTTATATTACTAAACATATCTTGGAATTACCAATTAGCCCACTATAGTTGTCAATGTTTTGTTAGATAAGAATGCAGTAAATTGCAGTTGAATATCCCCGAGGACTTAATTGGCACACAAAAACACTATTAAAAATACAAAAGTAATCAGTTAAAACTCATTCTGAGATTTCTAGTTTGCTCTAGGGCTACTCAAGGCCGGCGCTGAAGCAGCAAAAAAACTATAACAGACTCTGGGGCTACTACTACTCTGAGGCTCATTATTTAACCTCTTAGTAGACGGAAGTTTGTTCTTTTTAGCGTTCAGCGTAGGATAGGGTTCTTTTCTTTGTTCCTGAAGAAGCGGGGAGTATGTTATATCGCTTTTAAAATTAATTTTTTTATAGAGATTTATTTAAAGTTTACTCAAATCTTAGGATATATTTCGTCACATTTTACACTAACTTTCCTTTTTTATAATTGAATTTTTAAGTATCCGTGAGTTCTACTCTTCTGAGTGCAGCTTCTCGAGCGCGAAGTGCAGTATACAGATTTATGAAATGTAGGCTATGTTTTTTCCTGGTTTAACGGAAGATTTATAACGGAAAGCTTAACATTAGTGGAACTATATTCGAAATTTCTCTCTGTCTACATGGAGTGTAGTCATTTCAGAGTCATATTAAGGATCAGATACTTTCTTAAATTTATTAAACTGCTTATTCAGAGGATAAAACAAGAGTCCAAAGATCGTAAAAACGATACTTTATGTAAAAATTTTTATGTTAATGAGTAATTTGTACTACCTTTCTTAAGTATCTCACTCTCTCTCGCTTTTCTTTTTAGTTTGAACGTTTACAGTTTTTCGCAAAATAATTTTTTAGAGCAGATGTTTCCTACTATTTTAGTAAATCCCTACTATTTTAATTTCGATTTCAGCTTTTTAAAACATTCTTATGTAACTAAATTATACAATAATAAAGATTATGAGATAACAACGCGTCATTTACAGAATAATATTCAAATTTTTTGGGTATCACTCAGCATAATTTGAGTAAATCGATGTCAGAAGCTGTTTTTATATCCTTTCAATCTGAATTGCAATAAATGCTTTAAGCCACCGTTTCTCAATCTGTGGTCCTCGAAACTTGCTCTTGTGGTGCTCCAAGATTCCCCCCCCCCAAATGAAATAAATTAAAATTCAAATTAAATATATAGCGCAGATCTAAAATCTCAGAATCTGGAAATTATACATGGCAATCATCTTCGACATTTTATAAAATTTATTTACAGGTTTCACTACCTTCTTCTCATTCTAATCATAGCAACGAAAAAGGGATGTTTATTCTACGAACTCATTGTTTACCAGCATATATCTAAACACAGAACAACTATGCAAGAAACGTCCGGCTCATTCATTTCATGAAGGTGAGTGTCAAAATTTATTCATTTTAACTCTTCTTTAGTTAAGAAATATGGAATGAAAACTTACCTTGCAGGGCTGTAGTATTTCTAGTTAACTCGTCATAAACTGCAGGTGACAACTGAGCAAAAGCGTTATCCGTAGGTGCAAGGAAAGTGTATGGAGTTTGTCCTATAGAAAGTTATACATTCAAATAAAATGTTATATTAAATATAACATTTGACACAATATTATCTACATATAAAATTTAACTTCACAATTTTATCAAATTTTAATTACTTTATTCAAATTGTCCTTAAATTCACGGAGTTCATAAAAGATTGTATGGAAAAGAACACTGAACGGTTGTAGTTCATTGCGAGTTTTTCGGAAGACCAAGAGGTGGGGTTGCATAGAGTTTTAGGGGCTTTTCTCCAGATCAAACAAGAAGAAGATCGAGTTTCTGTCTAGAAGCTGAAATAGAGTATAATCCAATTTCATTAGGAAGTGCTCCGTGAAAGCGTTTCTTCTTAAGCATATACCTGATACCTGGGGTGTTTTGATGAAATATATATTCTCAGAGATTACTTCTGATTTGAAATTAACTCTCACAATCCAAAGACAAACATTTATTTTACAAACAAAGAAAGGAATAGGTACAATGCAAATGATTTTGTTTTTAAAACAGTTTTGATTGACTATCAAAAGCAGTTGCAAATTGCGAATGAAATGAAGCTATAATAGCATATTTTTAATTAACTCCAAAAAAAGATGGCTTGAAGAATTTAATCTTTGGAAAACTCCCTACAAAAATGCATAAATGTTCGAGGGATTTAATAGTACACTACTAAGACTTGGTAAGTTTAAATTGTACTATTTTAGCTCCATTTCAAAAATTACAGATTGACCCTCGTACACTTCGTTTTTGAGCTAGAGACTTCCTACATTTTGCCTGCATTATTAGAGAAGTTTTTAATCCTAGAGCTGCGAATAATTAATGTGCCCAGACAGAACAATCCATCATTTTGATGGACTGGTAGCTCTGAGATAAGGTATCCTTTTGATTAGAATTTATTCTTAACATCTGTTATTAAACATCTGTTATTAAACATCTGTTATTAACATCTATTCTTAACATCTGTTAACATCTGTTATTAATTTTTTTAAATCCTGTTACAGATTTAAAAATTTGGATAAAAAGTATAAAATAGTATGTTTAAATATTAGCTTTACCATTGTACCGAATGTTTTTTTAACTATTAAAAATAATGCAAAGAAAATTTAAGTCTGATTGAGTTTAGATAAAAATTCTAACGTAAAAGGCACATGAAAATCTCTTCTTTCAATATAAAAGCTATCAAAACTAACTTATTATGAAACTGCAAAATAATTCCTGTAACAGTGCTTATTTCAATTTGAGCATCTATTTACAAGCTGCGTATTTCAAAACACTGAAAATCATAAAGTGAGAATCAATTTTTCTTCAAACAACGTCTCATAATAATTTGTTATCTAGTGCGTTTCAGAGAGAAATACATAGATTTAAATTTATTTATCTAAAGCCCTTTTTATATTAAAATTAATAGTAAAAATAAGTATCGCATTCTGCTAATTCCTCAACTTAAAATTGTAGGGTTTTACTTGATCTGGTAATGCTAATTAGTACAAAAGCCTAACAGACATAAGCGAATTATCGCTGAAAGAACGACTTGGAAAAATAACCTTTTTATTTATATAGAATTTAGAACATTCGTTAGTGCTACAAAATAAGCCACAACTCGTGGTGATACAACTAAATACACAATTTTAGACGCACAATTTCGCACAATTTTAAACGATTGTTCGCAATATTTTAGATAATTTAAGTTTGGTATAGAAACTCGTCTGCTTGGAGATTTTTGTTTTAATTGCAGTTATATTTTTGAAAGTATGAATTATCGTCTGGTACTTAACAATTTTGTTTTCATAAAAAATGGCGCTTTTAAAGAAGGAATGGATGGAAGTCTATGTTTGTGCCCTTTTCGAAGAAATTTACTCGTATTGAGTTATTAAGAAACGCTTTGCAAGCCATGGTTTGTTTATATCTAAAGTTGCGAGAGGTAAGGAGGAAAAAAAGTCAAAGTTTGGCTTCAAGGAGAAAAATTATTCAAATTGCATATCCAAAGAAAAAAACATAATATTTCGAATGTTGCAAAGGTTGTAGAGACATTAGATATTTTTGGAAGCAGGCAAGATGAACGCCTTCGTCTGGAATCGAACCACGGACCTCTCAATTATGCGCTGAGCGTGCAGACCACCACACCATGAAGGCATGCGAAGAAGGCGGGAGAAATACTTTATATACTTCCTCTTTTAAAGGGCGGCTGGGGTTTTTAGGGGATCAAAACGCTAAATCCTGGGTGTGGAGATTCATCATCTACCACCCTTTTCAGTTCGAGCACCACTGTAGAGACATTAGGTATTTTTGGAAGCAGGCAGCATGAAAAATTAGCAACGCCTTCGCCGGGAATCGATCCACGGACCTCTCAATTACGCGCTGCGTGTGCAGACCACCACACCACGAAGGCGTGCAAAGAAGGCGGGAGAAATACCTTATATGGTAAGAGCTTTAATGTTAAAAGAAAAATCCGGCACGTCAAAGGGAAGTTGCAAAACCATTATAATGCTCATTGTCAGTTGTACAAAAATGAATAATGCTGATTTGAAACTTAGATGAAAAAATATAATTTACATTGTCTTTCTCCACGACATGTTGCCAAACGCCGAACGCCTTGCAGAATTCTTTATGACAAACATTTATCCGGACGAAAATGGAAAAATTGTCACAATCAATTAACCTTGGATGTATTTAAATGACTGCAATAAAAGGAAATGTATTTTCTGAGGAGAAAAAAATCTGAAGTCATGGTTCAAAGAATCGATAGAAAATTTTTCAAAGGGATTTATGACTGTTGTTGGTGTTTCTCAGAACGGCAAATAAAAGTAAAAAGGGAGGAGAAAAGTGTTAAGGTCAACTCCATATATTATCAGAAACACATTTTATACCCAGTTTTCTAATATGAAATATTTCTTTACCTACAGTACCATCAATCAATAGAAGTGCATCAAGGCAAAACAAGCAGCCACTGTTAATTTCCTGAAAAAAGTGGAACAAGAAACGGGTATCAGAGCCATATCCTTCACTCATATCCCTACTAAATCTCCTGATGTATCATCCATGGACTTTTAAAAAGCGGATTGTCCAAAAGTCAACCTACAACCCTCCTTAGACCCTGGAAAGCTGTTCAAGAGGAATGGAATAAAGTACTCTCTTTGGATATTGCAACAGTCTTTATTGGCTTAGAAATTACGGTGCAGAAAGGTAATGAAGAATAAAGATTATAAAATTAAACATTTAAAAAGCAAAAATTTTCCTTTAAATATAATCAAAATCGTCTAAACAAATGGGCGAACAGCCTCAGTAGAACAGTCAAATTTAAGTTTAACGTAGACAGCTGTCAAAAACTATACGATTTACTATACTAGAAGCTGGCTCACTATTCTATCGGAGCGTTAGAATTTAAGTGTCAGCAGCGGTTGAACGCACAGCCGAATAATCATCAGAACTAGCAGGAGACTAATAACCGCAGTGCTTATGCGATGCCAGAAACACGTTAGTTTAAATACTGAAATTTTTATTTTTTCCGAAATCTTTAGTTTAAATGCTGGCTAATCATTCTGGTGAGAAATACGAAAACGAGAAGTTACAATAAAGGGTTTTGAAATTATAAATAACTGGTTAATTAAAATTCCTTACAAACTATTTGAATTAAGAAGTATTTTATTTTACTTCTGTCATATACAGCTTCTCTTTCAGACGTGTTTATTTGAACCAAGAATACAATTAAAAAAATTATCTACCAAATAAATTTCATTAGACTTTGTTTTTAAAATTCGTTACGCAGAATTTTTTGTAAGAATGGCAAGAAAGTAAAAGTTGACCCAAACAGTTACTAATTAGCTTTTATGTTCGGAGAAAATCTTTTAGTAGAAGAAAAGCACGTTTGATTGGAAGCTCTCGCAAATCGTACTGTAATTGGGAACGGGAGGATTATGTTAGCGCAAAAATGTTGAACGCTACGAAATTGACTTTGATATAAAAAAAATGCTTTTCCATGAAATAATAAGCTGATTTCTGATTCCAACATAAGACATTTTATAAAGAAATGATTAAAATCTGGTTAAGCGCAATGAAGATTTTATTAGAGAATTTCTTATTTCTGAAGATATTTCCTTAGGAATAATTTTCCTCAACAATTTCTTCGTGTCTTTTGAATTCAAGTGAAAAATCATACGTTTCTTCATAGGTGCAGATATGTAGGAAAAATATAGTTCTAACCCTCTCCAGGCAAGATATCGATATAAATGCGGCAATTCTCTTGCGTTTCATATGCCACATGTGGTGATGTAGATAATGAAAATGTATGAGCAAAAGTGACTAAAATCATGATCATTTATTTAACGCTCTGATTACCTGGAATTCTATATCGAAGGTTCTTCCTAAAATCTTATCATTGTGCAGTGAGAATTTGCTGCTGTTTGAATTAAACAGATTATGAAGTTCCAGCTTTACACATGTTTTCTTTGTTTCATTTTTGCTTTGAAAAATTTAAATTAATAACCTTTTTCGATTTGCTAAAGAAATTCTAGAAAGATTGTCAATTTTTCGGAAAAACACCGAAATGCTGAAACATCATTTAGTGGTTACTCTAAGCAGAGATTACTAAAAAATGTGATTCATTGTAAAAAAGCATCCAGGTTTAAGGCAGTTTTCAGGATATTTTCATTGCCAAAACGATTATATTATGAAAAACATTTGCCAGTCTAAACATGCTGGATATGAAAGCATCCCATAGATATGAAAAAGTAGACCTCCAGTAACAAATTTAAATTGGGTAAAAACCAGTTTTCAATTCCCATTGGTCTTATTGTGAAGGAGGGATATGAAATTCGAGAGACCTCCTGTCTGTCTCTCTGAAAATGCCTATTTTCAGCCAATTCATCTTACAAAGTTTTAAATATTTTCGAAAGCCAAGCTTTTCACAGCAGCCAAAGCGGATGCCAGGCATCGATCTTAGAGATTGGGGCACGGAGAGAGAAACTGTATGCTTGACGAATATAAACGAGAATGTTTTGTATTCTATACCAAAGTCTCTTGCATAGTCTAGACTAGACTTAGTGTCAAGTGATTTTTATATATTCTCAATACTGAAACGATAATTGAGTTTAAAAGGTTCTTAGTAGACGAAGAAGTGAAAACGCTACGTCCGCAGTGTTAAAGAAGATACGATAAAATAATCTGTCTTATGGTTTCTGAATCATTCATAAAGCGTAGTAAAAAGTAAATTTATATATATGAAGGGTCTCTACTTTGAAAAACAATGAAAATGTACGAGACAAAGAAACAATACACGGTTCTTAGAATCCTTTGATTCAAAATAAAAGAATTAGTCTTAAAAATTTTTTCAGGTAGTTAAGCTATTGCTGCTTAAGTAACTTAACTATGTTCTAGAAAGTTTGTTTTGAATTGCGTTTCCAGAATGAACAATAACGGATAGAAGAACCATAAACGTTGTTTTCTAGAAAAGTTTTATCTTTTTACGCAATCCAAAGAGGTAACAACTTTCATATGATAGGAAGTTTATCAAAATTTTTTAGTATTCTCAAAATAAATCATTCTTGTATGATAGTTTAATATTTCAATAACATGTCTAAAAACGAATGATTTGTTTATCATAATCTGAAACTCGTATGATTTGCAGGAAAGTGAGCTGCTTGACATTGAAATTCAAAAATTTATAAACATGAAGTGTGCATTTCCATTTAATTGGTATTACTAATTTCCATAGCTTTATCAGTAAGCATTCAAATACAGAAAGAATGAGCAAATAGCTACCTTGAAGTAAATCCACCAATCCACTCAAGGGTAAAAGAAAAGCCAGCGTCGAAAGGTCAGGCCTGGACTGGATCGCTCCTACTATGTTTTCATGGGGTAAAGGATAAAGAAGTTGATTGATGACATAGAATATACCATTATTGGCTCTTGTCACGGCTATCGCTTTGGCACCACTGATAAGGATAAGCTGAAAAAAAGAATTGGCAGTTATCGAGGATAGTGAAAGTGTGCAGGACATGATAAATTATTAATGCTTAAAGATTATATTTTTTAATAATCTTTTTAAGAATTTAAAATGATAATCGATATCTAATTACTGAGAACTTAAAGAGAACTATTTGAATGGGCCTCTTTTCTCTAAGTAATATAAGGAAGCTCGAAATTAAGTATTAATTAATTGATATTTGTTCTGACTACATGTGTTTTCAACAAACACTGTCTGTATTTTCTCCATACTTTTCCAACTTTTCAGAATAAATTGCATTTTTTATTTAGGATGGTGAAACAGGCACATTAAAACGAGAATCAAGAAAATTATTATCTTGGATAAACTGTGTGAAACATTAGAATGAAGTTAGACTGAAGATAATTAGTCTGAAGTTGGGTTTACAGAAAATTATTGTCTTACTAAAACGACTGACAAGAATCTCTGTTCTTTAAGAAGCAAAAATACATTGCCTGGGTCTACCTGAAAAAGGAACAGATCGTAATATGTAAAAATTAGGGAAATGAGTATTAGATTGAGTTTCATTTAAAATTTAGACCATTGATTAATTTTTGTCAAATTTAAAATTTCTCAAAAACGGTCTACAGGATTCATTTGTTTAAATATTAATTCTAGACAAGCATTTGCTCAAAATAAGATTAGGAACGGTTTCAGTTTTGCAAATAGAATGATTGTGTTAAGTAAAGCATTCAGATTACGATCCCGTTAATAGTTGGTAGCTGAGAGAAGACAAGGGCGTCTTGTTTTATCATGATGTCAATGGATACCGCCTTTCGACTGTAACTTTCTGTATACACAACACGCTTTTAAGATCCATTACTTCTCAACTATCAGTACTTGAGCAGATTTGTGTTACCTAACAAATAAGTTAAGACGTGAATCCTGTAATGAGACAATGCTTGTGAGGAGTTACCTTATTTATTACTTGATGGGATAGAAAATATCAATAAGATGGAAGTTCACAACTTATGTATATTGCATGCACAGTAACATGAGGAAAGAATAAGAGGAAAAAAAATTGTTGGAATGTTAGTCATTTAATATTGCGCAGGGCAGCCTTCTTTAAGTACATGTAATAAAGCCTGTTCAGCTTATGCAGTTATTAAAGCATTCACTTGCTGAAGTCTCAGTAAAATGAAGCTATATTACTTATATTTCTTCAAATACAACAAGAAGTTATGCATTTTACAATCTTTTACAATTTTTCCCTGCTCAATCGAATTAAAAGCATAAGACTTGAAGAAAAATTGCAAAATCCTTCGCAAAGATTTCGAAGTAAGAAAATGAATGTATAATGAAATCATTTTGCTAAATAATGACTGAAACCTTTTTCTTGTGTAATGAAATTTTACAAATTATTAATCTTTGCGAAGATCAAGGTGCTGTTCTTTGATATTTGCAGTAATTAATAATTGGTAAAATTCAAACTTCGTGTCGCGTTGTTTTCAAATGCAACGGATCTATGCATTCGAAAGATAAATGAGCGGTGCCAATTACACGTTCATTTCGGACAACTATTATACATTTTAACTGAAAAATAATGCTAATAACCATCAGTTTTAAAGTTGTACGAAGAATCCTTAAATTAGTGAAGTTATTATCCTTATTTTGCAAGTGTTCTGTTGTTGGATGCAGTAACTTCCCAAGGAGATGCATTGTGACAGCACGGAGTCGCAAAAAGAGAATACAGTGAATGTTAAAGTACATTGTTTTTAAATACACAGCTGATCACATTACTTTCTACAATGGTCTCATATTTGTGTCAGCCTTGAGAAACAGATAAAGAGTGGTGATCTCAGTTGCCTATTTAAACGAAAAAGGGTTCAACAGTGACTAGAAATAAATGAAAAAGTTCTTTTTGCTTTCTCATTTAAAAATTATGATGATTCATGGAATAAATATCCTTCAAAGTGTGAAGATAATAGATGAGGAAATTTATAATCAAGTAATTATTAGCTTTCCTTGTTAGAATTAATTGTTTTCTTTGAGGTTTAAGAGCATAACGTGGACGAAGAACATGTGCAATTCTTTTAAAAGAAAATACGATCAATTTAGAAAATATTATTTTTTGGAAGCTTTCTTAGCAAAACGATGAATGCAATTTCTTATTGTCTTTTGATCAAGCTTAGTAATTAACAGGCAAATGAAGTATCTCTTAAGCAGGTCAAATAAATAACACACTAAGGATCTTAAATGTAAAATCCTCCATTAAGTTGTCTATTGAATACATACGCAATCTTCGTGAGAAAGTATGCTGAACAGTAAAAAGAAAATTTCTTATTTCCGAAAACTATTATCGCATTATGTAAGAATTGCTTACTCTTCCTCCATTAAGCATAGTGATGACAAGTTGCGTACCCTCCAGTGAAGGTACTACATAACTTTCTCCTTGGTCACTAGGCAGGATTTCAGTGCTTGTCACGTGATACAAGAGAACTTGTCTCAGCAACTCTGGATTTTCTTCTAGCTGATCCACGACTCCTTGAGGAAGCGTGGAGAACGCATCATCAGATGGGAGGAACACCGTGGTAGGTCCTACAAGCGAAAGTTATTGAAAAATATGTAATTTTTGCAAATGATAAAAAATTGAATTTTAGCAGTTTTAGTCTAAACAGTAATTCAACCGTTAAGAGGTTACAAGTAAATGCTTCAAAATTTTAAATAAAGCTGAAAGGAATATTCCATTAAGTTAAACCTTTCCTTATCTCGTCACATTAAACGCTGCTCTTTAAGTAGCTCTGAACCTCGAGCCATTTCTTCACACACTGCACGTCTGCGTTCAATTAATAGATCTAACTTATGGGGTGGGGCTGGAAATAATATAAAAAAATGTTACATTTTCTTTCTTGAAGTTTCGATTATAATTTCTCTCACAACATTATGGCCCCACCAGCGGCCGAGCGGTAAAGTCGCTGAACAGTGGTAGTTCTATCTGAGGTTCGAATTTCGCAAAAGGGCTGGCTGCATGGACGTTTTTGTGGTTTTCACCATGTGCTACTTGTATAAGAGCTAGTTATTTTAGAAAGTCCTCTACGGAGGCATCTCTTCAGTTAGGCAAATAGCCCTCGAGTGCTTTGCCGTAATCAAATAAACCAATTTAGAAATTTGTTCGTTCTGATTTCTAATGCTATTATCATTTCTTTTACAGCTTTTATTTTTTTCTTCACTGAAATTACTATAAACATATACCAGCTCCAAGCATGATACTGAGAAAAGTTAGAGATTTTTTGGAAGTACCGTAATGGATTTTATGGAGCATTATGAAAGCACCTATAGGTGCTTCCATAATGAAATGGCCGCTACTTCCGACCCTTGTAGTGGCGCAAGGCTAACGTCTTGTAAAGTAAAACATTTTTTCTTTATTTTTATATGTACGTTTTGAAAAATATGTATTAAAATTTTTTAATTTAGTTAACAAATTTGATTTTGTTTAGAAAAACGATGTTTTTCTTTTTCTGTTCCTTCCTTTTAGGCCAAAGGGGCGTTACCACAGAAGTGCTATTAGTCTCGAAACGGCATTTCGCGTCGAACCACTAGAAGGGTTCAATATCGCTTTGTGAAAAAATAATGGTGCCTATAGCCATCTTATTTTGAATAACGTAGTCCTTCACCCGAATACGAGCACCAAATTTTGAAATTCGGATTTCTTTTATTGTCGTTTTCATATTTTGTAAAACTTTAACAAATTTTTCATTTAAAACCTCCACGATTTCAAAGCGAGCAGTGGCACTATAGCAGTAGCGGAAGGAAGCATTTCTATCTCCAGCGCGCGAGACTGTGTATCGGAAATTCTTAAGCTATGCTGTTTTTAAATATTTTTAGCCTAAAGGGACGTTAGCTCAAATGCTCTCGAAACGCCTCTTGAATAGTGCATCTATGTGTAAATGAAAAAAGTCCCTTTAGGTGCAATATAAAATCTGATAGCTTTCTGATTTTTAAAAAAAGTTTTTTTTTTAAAATTAATTATGGCACGTCTTCTACTTTTCAGATCGTGCATTTGACCCGTGTGCAATTTGTGTTTGAGACCACTGTGATAATTCAATAAACCCGAATTATTAAGCAGTTTTTTTTTAACTTGAAAAAGAAATAGACTGAAAATGAAAAAGAAGGGCTTCTTAATTCTACCGATAATTAGATTTTGATCGTTCTCTTAAAATAAAAACCACTTAAAAATGATGAAACGCAAAGAGAATATGCATATAAATGTCAAAACACAAGGAATACTCAAACTGTACGTAATAATAAACTTGTACGTAAATCTATACCATGTATAAATACCAACACTATTCGTAACATGATCGGTGAAATTTATAAGCTTGGATAGCTGATTTTGCTAATATCAATATGTACAGTTCCACTTAAGTTTTGTCAATTTTTCAAAGATTAATATAACATTTTTTCAATAATCAATGCACTTCATTTGCAGATTACATTTGGAAATGGCGCGATCTGCATAAAATGAAGCAAATTATGTTGTAAACTGTCTGCAAACCTTACCTGAAAATTTTCCATTTCAGACCTTAAATCTAAGTATCTATTATATGAATTTAAGTTATTTTTCGTATTATGCATTGTTTTACAGCATATTAATGCACTAATTATATATTCAACTTTCAAATACATCTAATACTAATTATCATGAATTAATATCATTTTCGAAATATTTGGTGTTAGCAGCATGCCCTTTATGAAAATTCAGGATAGGCTCCTGCATTCATTTAAATTGGACTCATGAAATGAAATATCAGTTAATGAAATTTTTACCTAGTGCATGCATTACATTCTTATTGTTTTAATAACGAAGAAAATAAACTTGCAATTTCACGGAAATGGAAATATCAAACGAATTTTAGTGATTATCTGGTGATATAATTTACTCAATGTTACCAAATAATTTAAAAAATATTTTGGTTATTTCTTAATGCAATAAAGCAAAATTGAATAAAAGGCGAATATTAATATATTAGAATCAGATAAATTTATACTTATTTTTTCATAAGTAGAATATTTTAATTAAAGAATATCACTAATCTGAATATGTGAATAGACGTACCAGGTCCTGTTAGTACGTTTTCAATGCCAGCTTTATGAAATAAGTCAAAAATTTTGGTCATTTTAACAGGTTGGCCACGAATAAGTAATGCTGGATCTTCTACAATTTCATATAATGTCCTTCTGGTATCTTCTCCTGCAGCTGTGGATGTTCCTGTCACAAATATAGGCACTCTAGGTGTGGTTGATACCCGTCCGGGATATGGTGTTCGAGAAGTTGTTCGTTGCCCTTGGTGAACAACTGGTTGCCTTTGAGGGCTAAAGATTTGACTTCCCGGTCCGACATCCGACGAGGGTTGACGTCCTGGTGTCTGTGGTTGGTTTGCAGCAGGCAAGGTTCCACGTGGAGGTGCCTGAGTAAAACTAGACTGAGGCCGAGTTGTGAAAGTACCTCTGGGAGGAGGACTAGATCGTGGTGGTGATAGTCCAATACCAGGCTGTGGTCGAGACCCTGTGTGGGGTCCAGAAGGAGGTGGTCTTGAGCCTGGGGAAGAAACTGGTGAAGCTGGTGACTGAGGTTGTGAAATTCCTGAAGATGGTTGAGCTGGATAAGATCCGCTTTGGGGTTGTGACGGGTGCGAACCGAACTCAGATTGTGGTGATTCAGATACTGTTTGTGGCTGGCCTGGTCGTAAGCCTGGTTTTGTACCAGTTTGGGGACGTGTTTGGAATGTGCCTGATGGTGGTGGATAAGGTCTTAAAGCACCTACAGCAGGTGGTTGCTTCCCAGCCTGATTAGGGCTATCAGTTTGTTCAAATACTTCTTGAGGAGGTTTAGTTGTAGTTTGCCATTGTTGCCTTCTTGTTGTCTGCGTAGCTGGATATCGTCCACTTTGTGGATACGTAGGTTGTCGTTGAGGAGGTCTTGGTTGCTGCTGACCTTTATTCACATGGCTTCCTGGTTGTGGTCTTTGCTGTTGTGATGGTGGAATTCTAGGTGGCTGTTGGTTGACCCTGCATACAGGTCTTCTGTCACCTGGCTGTGGGCGTTCTAAAAAGGGACGACAATCAGCTTGGGTTTCTTGTGGACATATTGGTCTGTTATCTCCTGGAGAAGCTGTGTCATCTTGAAGTCTACAATTTGGTTGAGGATTTACTTGAGGTCTAGGTGGTGTTGGATGGGAGGGATTAGTCGTACGACACAATGGGCGAGTGTCAGCAGGATTATATGGTGCAGACGGATCTCTACAGTTTGTTTGTGTCGGTGGTGGTGAAGAACAAAGAGGTCGACGATCACCAATATAGGTAGGTTGCCCAAAAGGTCTACAGTCCTGTTCTGGTACTGGTGATGGACATAGTGGACGGGTATCAGACGGGCTATAAGGTTCATTAATGTTTCTGCACTCTGGCGTTTCAATTTCATTAGGACATAGAGGTCTTGGATCAGAAGGGTTATAAGGCTGATTTTGACACTGATCGGGTGTGGACTCTGGGCAAACTGGTAAGTTTTGCGTGGAAGGTGTTATGCGATCTCCTCTCCTCCTACAGGATGGACTTTGGCGATTTGATTCGAAGCTTTGATCAGATATTGAAGGCAAAGTTGTTGTACCAGGTCTTGGTTGTGTTGGTCTTCTCTGTGGTGGTGTAGGTACTCTAGAAGGTCTAAACGTAGGTTGTTGCTGTGAAGGTCGTTTAGTTGTAGTTTTAACCTGTTTTCGTTGCTGCCAACTAGCTCCGGCACCTGGTTTTTGCGTTTGGAAATCCTGTTGTGGGCTTTGAGTTGTATAAATGCCATCTGTACTGGGCTCCCTTCCGTGCTGTTGACCGATAGAGGGTGTAACTCTATTATATATCCTCGTAGTCTGTGGTCTTCTGGTTGTTTGCTGTGTTCTAGCAGGTGTTGGATACCTCGGAGCCTGAGTCTGCTGTCTATTCGACCATCTATCTGTTTGCCTCGAAGGGGGTGTTACAGTAGGAGAAATTTCTTGCTCAGGATGATTTCTGTCTTGATCCGACTGTGGTTGAGGTTGCTGACCCCTAAATGTATCTCTTGGAGGCTGAGTGGGAGTAATACGCGGTGGTTGTCTAGGAGTGGGTACAAGTCGAGAAGGTGTAGGATAACGTGTTCTTGTTTGATCAGGTCTCTTTTGACCTGGTACTGATTGTATTCCTGAATGTTCTATGCTGCTAATATCATTTTCCGGTTCAGATTGCACTCCTGCTTGGCCATGAGGGGTTCTTGTTGTATGTGTTGGTGAAGAAACTGGCCTTGGTGACTGACCAATTCTTGATGGAGTAGAAGGTCTTCTTCCTTGTGATACAGTCTGTCCTCCTAATGGTCCAAACGGACGAGTAGTTTGTGGCGCAAATGCTTGTCCTGTTGGCCTTCTTGTGGTTGCTATTTGGCCGAAAGATGGTCTTTGAGGTTGGACAACGGATGGTCTAGATTCTCCTGAAACATGTGCTGTAGGCTTTTGTTGTTCTGAAGAAGGACGACAATTACAGTCAGCTTCAATTCCAGCTGGGAGTAACACTCGGTTGAGAACATGCACAACACCATTTGTGAATGGCTGGTCGGACAGAACAAGAGGAATGTCATTTGCAAATGTTAAACCTGAAAATAATATTTTTCAATCAAATTTATTCTATATATATATATCTATATATATAAATATTTTGGAATATAATATTTTTGAAGGGATTATATGAAAAACTATTTGTTTCAACTTCAGTTAAAAGTAGTTTTAAGAATACAGTTGCTTTATTAAGTAAACACAATTTCAGAGCTCCCTCCCTCAAAAATAAAGAGATTATTCAGGCATATAGCATAGGATTATGATATAAAATGAGACTTTCTAATACATTTGTTTTAAGCATATAAATATTAAAAAATGTATACCTCTTTTTTCAGTAAAACTGATGACATTGCCGCCAGCAGTTTCCCATTGTACTCCATCACTAATTCCACCAACGTACACACTGCCAAGCAAGATATGATTCAGAACAATGCCTGTAAGACAAAAAAAAAAAAAAAAAAAAAAAAAAAAAAAACTGAATATCCTAAAGTTGAAAACGATTTACAAAAATAGAAATATACAAAAATTATTAACTACATTCAATCTAGTTAAAGAAATTCCCCAAATTTCTCCAAGATAGACCGTTTTTAGAAAAATATTAATCCAAGGTCTTTTTAATTTGATTTAAGATTCACTGTGATTTATTATTTTTATTTTATATTTATTTTAAAGGTTTCAGCTGAAAATGAATAGCTTTTAAACAAAAAACGCGTATTTTTCTAATGAATTCTTCTTTTAGTGCACAGATATATGTTTTGAATAATTTGCTAAAATTGTAGATATGGCTTTGTTTTTTAGTAACTAACTGGAAACAAACTAAGCTTTACTTATCATATTTGTTAATTTCATAAAATATTTGATCGTTTTTTAATGTATTTGACTTTGACATATTTATTTTGCTGTTATAAACTTATATGATAAATTGCGCAGCCAAGTAATTGTTTCTTTCGTTTCTTTGTAAAACTTTCTGCTTAAAATAGGCATAAAAATTGTTTTCTGGATAATACCACACTGATAAAAAATACTTTGAAAACATATAGTAAATCTCTTATATTTACCAACAAGAAATTTGTAACAATATGCATATTGTGCCTGCAATTTTGTTTGAGGTAAAGATTTAAATTAAACTTTAAAACACATCGTTGAACATATAGACGACATAATCTTAAATATCTCCGATTTCCTTTCCTTTCCAAGTATTTTCCAATGCAAAAAGATTTTGTTTCTGTCAGGAGAAGGATTTAGGATAGAAGTCAGTGACATACTTTTACCTAATTTTCATGCATTGCTTGACTTTACAGGTTTCTTAAATATGAGGTGGGGTATGCCACGTTCGATGTCGATTTCAGAGGTTAGCGTGCTTTTTCAAGAGTTTCAGGTATGTGCTCTTCAGGGGTGGATTCAGGAATTTCGGAAATTTCCCAAGCCACTGGTGCCTATGACGCTACTTTTTTATCTGATGTCGATGGCTAAATGATGAAACATTATTCAGAACTGTAGAATAGCGAAGGTCAATTTGAAAAAATGCCAGGAACTTTGTGGAAGTCGGCGATTGCACACCGAGGACTGCTTGCCGAAGTCTACCTTCACACGAGGTCCCGGGAGCCTTATGAGCGTTGCTTTTATCATGATACCGAGTTTCATAATGGGTCAGGCCTTTATGTCGTGGAACCGTCATTCCTTGGAGAGCTAGCTATAGGTAACTTAAAAAAAGTTGACAGCACTTTTTCACGTTACTCGCACAAGTTAGACCAACTCCATCCGCCCTTGGTTCTGTTATAGGATCTAAATTCAACTAGGAATCGAGTTTATAACCTTTCGATCGGCAGGAGAAATCTCGATAGGTTTGACGTAATTTAGCATGGCATAAGCTTAGTTCAGCAATAAAAGACTGTAAAAAGTTTGGAAGCCAGGTAAATGATCCCAGAGTTCATGTTGTCTCACTTGAAACGTTACTGAATGCGCTGGTTATGTAAATTAACACCTCATCTGCATCTGTAATAATTTCTTTCAGATGAAATTTTGTATATTCGCTCTTGCATGTTGAGATAAAAGAGTGAAATTCAAGTACTTACTCTCGCCGCCTAGATGGTGTAGGGGTTAGGGAAGCCTACTGCTGTACCAAAGGGACCGGGTTCGAATCGCGGAGAAGGCATGGATGTAAATTGTCTGTCTCTTCGTGGGTGGTAACGGTGGCCGTTTATTAGGTGCCTTCATAGTAAAATGACCACCGCTTCTGGCCTTCGTAGTGGCGAAAGCCTAAAAAATGGCTAGTGCCCCCCCCCCGTAAGAAAAAGGGAAAAAAATGTACTTACTCTCAGCTAGACTTCTGTTTGCTGCTAAAGCGTCCTTTAGTTCTACACTCAAATAGTTGAATGACTGATCATCTGGCACTAAGATTGTGAAAGTACCACCTAAAATATTCACAAGATGTTAATTTTTCCTCATAAAATAAACAGAAATTTAGCTTTCAGAATTGTTTATGTGAAGGTTATGGCTTTTAAATTTTACTAATGATACATTACTTAATTAACAAATTTCCTTTGTGTCTTATTTCGTAACGAAGTCTTTCACTTAGGAATTTATGTGGATTTGAATGACAAGCAGTTTCACTATCAGGTTAAAAGAATTTACGAATAACTGTGTGTGAAATTGCGAATAGCCGTTTGGCCTGCTAACGGCAACTGCCTTGCCGTGCAAAGTTTCGCTTTCTGTTGGTGACTTCGACGCTGGTCTTAAAGTAAATATTTTAGAGTGAGGATGGTTTTGTGGTTATAAGCTTAACGCGTTTTAATTTCTGTCCCGGTCTAGGCGAATCTTGTACCCTCTAATAAGTTATGATTAAATCATTGAATTTAGAGCAATTGTGAAGAAGCTTGTATTTAAGCCAGGTCTATTCGGGTGGTAATTTTGTGTTGTATATTCTAATTTACCCCCGTACAAATAGTGAAGTAAAATAAATTTAAAGTTATTTTGTTTCTGTGTTTGTCTGTTTTAAAGTTAGAAATTCTGCTTGTGATAATTCACTTCGCAGTACCTACGTAGCAACTTATTCTTAAATTACTGAGGCAGCTAAATTATTTATACTCACAGCAGTTGTCACAAGGTAAAATTAATTGTATGAATTGAATGTGTCTATAGGAATGGGAAATCTTAGAAATATTTATTTTGAACGTTATATATTTCATGATTTCTCATTTCATAATTTACTTACATTTCTACCATTTAAATACTCAGTTAATTTATGAAATTGTATATAGAAAATGTTTCTGACATTATTTTAATAGAACACCATTTAACTCTGAAATAACGATAATCACTCGCATACCAAATTTTTACCTTTAATGTTATCATTGCGCTTTTGTATAAAATAGAATAGCTTTCGAATGGTGAATCGAATAATAAACAATTGTTGATTCTGTTTAATACAAAATTAACATAAACTATATCAAAATTACAACATGGAGTAACTTAGGTCGACTATTATTAAAAGTAGCATTAAGCCTTTCCAAAATACGTTCTTGAAAAGATAAAAATTCATTGAATGTAAATTAACTGCGATTATGGTACGATTAACTTCTAAACTTTTGCCTATTTAGTTTTAAGAAGTTATATGTTAATATAGTATATATGATATAAAACCCACAAAATTCGACTAAGTAAATAAAACAGCAAAAGAAATAATAACACAAAACAAAAAAAAAATCTTTTAAAAGATAAATAAGTTTTTAAGTATAGTAACTTCTGAAGGTAGTGTGTACAGAAGTACCATTAGCTATTCGAGCTGAAGGACAACATGATCATGTAATTTTAAAACTGAAAATAATGTATATTTTTAAAAAGGTGTTATGACAATACTCTCCTCCTGTGAATTTACACATTCACGGAAGGAGGTTAGAGACCAGCAATGCTATTCATTTAGCGATTACAAACCTAGAAGATTAACTTATGTAAAACTCAGACATCTTTCTTGTTACAACCATTTTGTAGCGTCATATTTGGTAAATGTAATTGTAGAAAATGCAATTCTTTAATCTACGTATTACAAAAATTTACTGAAATATTTTTAAGTTAGAAAATTTTAAAATGAAGAAATATTAAATTAGGTGCTTACTGAATACGTAATCTGCTAAACCGCTGTCCAGAAGTAGCCTATAAAATTCCTTATGATTAGTCCGTAAGTAACTTATAATATCTGTAGTTGGAATTGGGTACAATGGATGATCTACTATATAGACGCGCCCCAGTTCAAACTGCAGGTCCTGTTCTAAAATCTGAGCTCCGGATACGGTCAAATGCTGAAACAAAGTAAAAAAAAAGAGAAATAGTTAAAGAAAATAAAAGGCAGTAAAATCACCTAATACACTGACGTTTGACAAACAGTATCGATTCGCTGTTCATTACTTCAAGTAACAGATACTGATGAAAGATACTGAGATACGTTACTAAAGATACAATAAAAGATACGTTACTTTCTAAAGTAAGCGGCAGATAACCAGTGAGTATTTTTATCATAATGGATAACTTAATAATTATAATCATTATAACAAAACAGGTAGAAACCCCGAAAAATGGAAACGTTTTGCAATATGTCATATAAAGTGTCTCAGTCGCAGGCTTACGAACTTGTAATAAAAATAGTGTGCAATCAGACGATTTGAAGTCATGTAGCAGTATAGGGTAAACACTTCTGATGTCTGATGCGGTAGATGGCGATGGCGTTGGACCACACACGGGCACATTACACATACGGTCGTAGAGGTAGTAAGACAGTTGACTATACGAACGCTGTGTCAACCGATAATATGTATCTGGTATACGGGGATGCGGAGTGTAATGGATGAGTTGCGCAGTAATTGTACGGGGAATATTATCCGAGGAGGCGCACCAGAGGTTACCTGAAACGAGTTCCTACCAGATAACTAAAATGAGTCCAGAATAATCAGTACGGACTCATATCGAGGTGACTGTGTTACTTTATCTGCTTTATGTGCAAGCCATTTCCATGTTCAAGTGCAAGAGCTATCGTACACAAAGTCGGGTCTGCTGTAACGTCTTCAAGATTCTTAAAGAAAATGAAGCGCATCTGCGAACGCATGCAGAAAATCCAGCCAATTCAGCTGAATGACTAAGCATCTTGGATTACTTTTGAGCAATGGTTTCTACAACATGAAGCTACAGATATCCTTTTTCTTGCTTCCATGTTGTTTTCAGTGTAGAGACTTATACGAGGGAAAGACTATTTAATTCACTTAAAGCCTATGTTGTCGGGAGTTCCGAACATCTATGCCATACGAAGCCTTGCAGCGAAAATCCGTTTTGCGGTAAATATTTTGGGTCCACCTTGTGGGGGATTGCTTCATCAACCTTACCTCTTGCCTTTTCGTCTGACAGCTTACTTCATATTTCGACCATTAAAGCCTCCCAGACGGCATAGTGGTTACGGGAGTCTGACTGCAATACCGAAGGGCCTGGGTTTGAATCCTGGAGAAGGTATGCATGTAAAATTGTCTGTCCCTTGATAGGATATAACGGTAGCCGCCTATTAGGTGCCCCCACAATAAAATGGCCACCACTTCTGGCCTTAGTTGTGGCCAATGCCGTTATAGGCAAGTGCCAGCCATTGGAAAAAATATTGTTAAGGATTTGGCATTTAAATAGCTAATGTTGGTAGAATTAAAAATTGTTCCGTGCGTACCAGTTCGTTATGAATTGAATGCACAAGTCAGATGAAAAAATGAACAAAATTTATTATTGTCACAGCAAATAAAACAAAATGCTTAAATTTCTTCAGATATTCGTTCAGTATTACAATATCTCACAGTAGTTATCTTTTAACTACCCAAACGTTCAACAGAACGTAATTCAAAACATCTAGAGAAAGCTAATCCGCGAATTCGCTACAGTCAACAAGAGTACTTTTCTAAACAAACTCTTAAAACTACAACTAACTAACTAACGAATTGAGAAATCGAAATCGAGTCAATGGCTAGGCGGCAATTAGTAGCCAACCGCTACTTTAACCGTCTCTGTTGGTAAATTGCCCTAAGGAGTTTGTACTTAAGTTTTTAATTAAGGTAACGAATTGAGAGGTTTTCATGTCGCTTATATAAGCTTTTTAAATGCGCGAAAATTTTCTGGTATTTTCTCGAAATCAAAAAGAGATATTTATTTACTAAATTTTAAATGCACGTGCTCTTGTATTTTTAATTTGTGCATTCATAACGAACCCGTACGCACGCAACAATATATTTCTGCCATTACTTGATATTTGTGGAGGATGAGTTTTCTCAACTTTCTACATCGATGCGACTTTCATTTTCTCTCCAGCATTATGGGGCCCATAACCGTTTTAGCTTTAACAATTTACACATTGCATTTGACTAAAAGTAGATCGGGCGTAGTGGCCCGGTGTATTGACCTGCTCGATTGGCGGACCTACCATGCCGAGGCTATTGCTCGCTTTGAAACTTTGAGTTTGTAAATCAAAAATTCATTAAAGTTTTACAAATTATAAAATCAATATATATTATGACCCTTCACTGCTACATGACTCCAAATCGTCTGATCGCACACTATTTTTATTACAAGTTCGTAAGCCTGGGACGGATACACTTTATATGACATATTGCAAAATGTTTCCATTTTTCGGGGTTTCTACCTGTTTGTTATAATCAATATATGTTATAAATATAACACGAAACTAAATACGTGTTATAAACCATATAATACGCATTTAGTTTCAGTATTTCAGTCCGCGTATTCACTATTTACATTCTTCAAAGAGAAGCAAAAGCATGAAAATAAAAGCTAACACATTCTAACCTAAAGACTCTGATTAACTGTTGATTTCTTTTCCTTAGCAAAATAGGGAAATACACATAGATTATTCTAGGTCTGCAAGAATCTTAATTTAAATGCGATATTTTTTATGGAAATTAATCTAACACGATTGCTTTAACTATTGATAAAACTTGGTTTTCTCTGTCTGGAAAATATTACGAATTCTACTTTAAAATCTTTAATCTGACTTGTCTTGTGATACTCTTAAATAAATTATTTCTGATAATTTTTCCTTCAAATTTTATATTTTATGACCCCCTTTAACTATCAGACAAATGTTATTAACTTCAAACCTACTTACTTACTATGCAGCTTGAATCTATTCAATTTTTAAAGCCAAACGTAAACTGAATAAATGAGATTTAACAGGGAAAGTCTACAGTACCTGTCCATAAATATTGAACCTAAGAGGTGATCCTTGAAGGGTATCAACAAGCAATTCATTTTGAATCTGAGAAGATGGGAAGTCTCCGATGACGAAGTGATACAGAAGAAAGTCTCTCAACAGTTGAGGATTCCTCTGGAAAGAATCCAAAGTACCTCCAGGAAGGAAGATGAAGGAGGCATCCGTTGGCACGAATATAGTCCAATAATCTGATGAAATAAAATTAAAGGCATCAATAAATTAAAAAACAAATTAAATTTTGATAAGAATATTTAATTCAAAAGTAAAGAACTGTGAAAGAGATAATACAAATTACATGCATATAATATATATACTTTTTATTTATTAGGCCATATTACAAAGACAACGGTAGACAGAATAAGAACATGTAAAAGAGAACAACAAAACTAAAATGAGTCCACAGCATAATATATAAATCTATTCTGTGTCTCGCGTCCCAATACCTCTTCCAGAGTGATCCAGCTTCAAGTGCAGGGTAACGATTTTCCATATCCTTATGAAAGTTGCCCAACTTACAAACTGGGCTTGTAACAATGTTCATTCGATGCAATGTTTTAAAAGACAATCATGGTCAGTAACAAGACAAAAGATAACAAGAGATTTCTTTCTGGGCCATAAAAATGTCAAAAATTCTGTTTATATATACTTTATGACTTCTCTTTTGAGTAACGCTTTACAAAAAGCTTCTCTGTAGTAATTTCTGATTTACTCATTTGGGAGTGTAAAAAGGGATGTGGTTATCAATTATTTAGAAAATATTGGCTGCTTTCTTTGCCAACAAATCTGCCTTATTTCTATGAATGCCACAGTGCGATGACATTCTTTGCATCCTGGGCATCTTCTTTGCCATCCTGAGGTAAGTTTTCTTAGTAACTGCTGACATTTTAATACAGCAACAGACATTGGTGATTCAAAAGAAGAAATGGCTAGAAGAACAGGTTTAGAAACAGGTTAGAACAGGTTTAGAATGAGAGAGTATGACAACCTTTGAAAAACGTTAATGTAACCCTAGAGTTGGGATAAGGCTATTGTATGGCCGCAATATCAGCATCAAAAGCAGTTCTATTCCTTCCAGCAGGATTGTAAAATGAAAAAAGCTTGAAAAAAACGCTAGCACCTGCACTGATATTGTCAGCTATACATAGAGCCATCCGTAAACACATGTAGCCATTCGCTCTCAGAATATAAAGCAATAATGATTTCCAAAAACATAGATTTTAAAACTTAATTCACGAAATCATGAAAAACGGAACATTTGTTCCAGTTTTCATGATTTCGTGTAACAGATTAATTCTGAGTATACATTCCCCTTTATAAGCTCGACATTGTGGTTTCCCAAAATTTTCAGCTTCCCATCTAAGGCCTAGCTCAAGGTCCGTACAGTGAAATACAGTACATTTCACTGTACGGACCTTGGGCCTAGCTTATATATGACGGGAAAGATTGCCTTTAGAAAACTACTCGGAGTTTTTAGATTCCTCTCCGTCGATAAAGGGCAATAATGTCAACGAAAAAGCAGTCTGGTTCTCTAAAAAATTTTTCACATAGGATTAGTGCTTTCTCTTCCACAATGGATTTAGTGTACATATGGTGTGTAGATAGTAAAAGTGCATCAACTAAAGTGGTTTTAATAGCAGCAGCGATAAGTTTGAAAACTTGTTTATGATTTATTTCTAATGTATAGATTAAACGGTTAGATACTGCCACGAGGGGTAAGAAACAGTAAGTAATAAAAGGTAGACTATAGGAGCTGTATGTCAAATCAAGAGTGGTCATAGAACAAACCCATTTAGATCCAGCAATTCTCTTCATCAAGGTTAGCTTCTCAGTAGAGCGTTCTAAAATCATTCCAACATGCTCTTTCCAAGTCGATGTTCGGTTGTAAACGACTCCTAAATACACATACACACACGTATATATATAAATTATGTAGCTGTCTTGAGATTAGTAAACAGCGGCGTGGATACGTAAGATGCCATAACAGAGAAGATTGACTTAGCACAGTTTTATTTCTTAATTAAACAGGTTCCCATATCATCATTATTGGGGCGCTATGCAGTCCACAATTTTAGAAAGCTTACATCTTTTTAGACAATAGCGATAAACAGTACAGGCAAGAAATGCACGTTGGCAAGCAGCAGGCAAAGTAGGGATAAAAGGACTGCGCAGTTAGTAGCAGAGGTATTTAAAGACTTGGTTGCTTTGTTTAAATTTTGATCTGATGGAAAGTTAGTCGTCCACATTGTAGCATGATTGAAAAAGAAAGCGCGAAACGGACTATTTTTCAGATTACGTGATGTATAAATTTTCTGATGACGCACATTATAGTTTTAAGATAGGAAAGGGCCGTAGCCAAATTAAAATGAGGATTTAAAAGGAAAAGGACTATTGTTTTCTTTCATATTTTACATAGTACTTATTATATATATATATATACATATACATATATAAATCCGTCTTTCAGATTATTTAATTGCCCCAGATGTTCTGTTCTTTTCATCATGCTAGCAGTCTGCGTCTGTTATCTATTCAAAGAAAATTAAAATCGTAGATTTTTAAGCAGCAAACGGAATCTATAGCCATTGTATATATTATTTGAATTAAAAAATATCTGTTATTTACATTAAATGGCTCGAGAAAAGTGATGGTGATGTCTTTTTGAAAAGTTTGTTACCTTAAAACTTACAGTTAAAGACTTTATAATCTTAAATATCAGAATCAAATGAAGATTTACGTATATATTACGTGTATATGAAAGTGATATGAAACTTTTCAAGTAATTTACATTACAAACTTTTCAAGAAAATGTACAATGAAAATATTTTGTTGTAAACGAATCAAAATTTAATAATTCAATTTTCTACAATAGTATGTTTTAAATGTGAATAGCGTCGTCAGTGGAAATTGATAATGAGGAACGGATTCTCAAAGTATATGATTCAATCCTCAAATAAAAAAATATCGTTTGAAGCAAATTGAAGCAAATGCTCTCTATGTATTCAAAATGCATTTTATTTCTTTCGAATATTCTGTTAGATGATCAGGAAGAATAATATGTTACTTAGCTGTAGTTTATTATTATCCTCGACTATGTAATTAAACATAGTTATAGTAATTTTAATCAAATCTATGTGTTATACTTGTTTAAACATACTTTCGTATTACATTGATTGTCAGATTACATGTTCCATGTATTGATTTGATTGAAATACGTTGCGTTACTGCAAAAATATTTTTATGATACGATCATTCTTTCATAATGATTATTATTATTAAAACTAGTGAGTTACTCCAAATGTATTAGCATAAACTCAGAACGGTTAAATTTAATATGAAGATATGCTCAGCATTGGAAACTTTAATCTTTACTTAGTATATAGTATTTTATCTATAATGTGTAAATCTTCATGTATATGAATTATATTATGTATAGATTATTATTTTACTTTGAGGGACGTTGTTGTTACTATACTAGTATTAGAAAGTTAGGGGTTGTGGATTATGACCATACTGAAAAGATGTAATGCGAACGTTTAGAGAAAGGAATGCGTACGTTCTGGTAAACCGATTAAAAATTACTGTTATCTGCGTTTATCTATTTAGATAGCTTTAAACACTTTTCTGACCGTAAAACAGGATTAAGAACAGAAGTTTCACATATTCTTAATCCATATTTTAACAGACGAATAAGTGCACCAGAATTGTGAAGTCAAAAAAAATATATTAACATCTACAAAAATAATGCTTTATAAGATAATATGCTATTGTCTAAGTCTGCACTAAAACAAAACTCAGTACTTGCTGCAAAGTTAATAAAACAGGCCAAATGGTCATTACAAATTGAAGCACTTCTCAAAGAACTTCAGAATATGGGCTCTTAGGATTTCAATAAATGACACTGAAACTAAAAATTTTCTTCAGAATTTTATTTACTGTCTAATAATTTCCAAAGTATAGTAACTTATCTATGAGATACCAATCTAGATGGATAAATATATACATTTGCCCACGTATGCATAATCCTTTGCAAAGAAAATATACGTATTTGTAAGGAATCATCCAAGTTTGATGAAAAATTGTACCCTTTGTGATCACTAATAAGGATGGAAACCACTGTGATTAATCAGAAAGGCAGTATATATTTGGATAAAATAACCACGAAAGCAGCAGAAAACATTTATCTATACTACTAACTTCTAAATCACTTATAAACAAATCTCTTCATGAAATGCAATTCTTCAGTCTAGAGATAGGTAAAACGGGCCGGTATGGAAAAATTGGCGAAGATTTCTGGAATGGACTCAGAAAAGAACCATATTAGACCAACTATACTTTACCAAGAAGATTTTATGCGATTTACCAAGATGGCGCCATACAGGACTGAGATATATCTTGTTGAAAAATGTCTGGATAAGAATGATAATAAGACTGTCTCAGTATGCCAGCGACATACTGCACAGGCATTAGTTGAATGGAAGACTACAAGAATGTATGGACATTAAAACAAAGATCTTTAAATCATGTCGCTCCTCGAGAAAGATAAAATATATGCGTTGATCAGCTTGTTTGTAAATATAATACATATTTACTAGTCTTTGAAGGCTACAGCAGACCCTGTCTCATCACTAAAGGTTTCCATTAGCTGGATACTGTTTCAAGTTAATTGTAGAAGATAATACTGAAAAAACAGTCAACAATGTTCACTGGTCATTTGCAGGTGAACACTGACCTCTCGGACTGCAGTGCCCCTTTTAAAGCCGTCTTAAAAGTCTTTGGATGGACACATTCGTACCTGTATGGGACATCATACTGTAGCGTCATTAGGTTATTTTCGAAGCAGGATATGTGAAAAATGTTCAGTGCCCTCGCCGGTACTCTAACCTGGACCTCTCGAACATTCACCGAGTGTACTAACCATTACACCACGAAGGCATGCAGAAAGGAGGGAGAAAATACCGTTCCGTTTAAAGGGCGATTGGGAATTAGGAGACTCAGTCGCCAAATACTGGTGGTGAAGAGTCATCATTCACCATCCTTTTAGTTCGGGCGCCACTGTAACGTTATTAAGAATTTTTTGTAGGACGAAACCTGAAGAATGTGCAATGTCCTCGCCAGGTTTCGAACCTGGAATTCTCGAATACGCGCCGAGTGTGCTACCGTTACACCGCGAAAGCATGCTGGAAGGAGA